TAATTTTTAATTATTTTATAATATATTAAGTAGGAAGCTACTCAACTCGAAAAAAGATTATTTTTTGATTGATGTTAAAATAATGTTACTATTATAAAACCTCTAGGGTGGCTTTATGTTTTATGGTCATGCAATTTTTATGCACCAGAGAAAAAGAAAATGGGATTCACCATTATAGTTATCATCGGAATAAACTCGTAAGCAAAATAACACGAAATAGTAAAATGAAATATAAATATGAAAATCTCAACAAAACTTATATATTTGGGAAAATGTTTCACTAGACCGAGTGTATATGGAAATATTAATGGAAAACGTAATCATCGAATAAAAAATGGAACCATCATTTTTCATTCTGTTATATAACAATACAATTTCCCAGTACCAATATTATTGCGTGCAGTATGTGTCAAATAATTATCATTTAAAAAAAAAAAATGGTTAAGAAGATATCAAACTTGACTTATGCTGTCTCCGTTTCACACAAGTAAAACATAACAAATTCATGTTTATCATAATAATATTTGTACTGTTTAAAATAAACACAAACTTATATTATTTCGCATACAAATTTAAACATCGAAATATACTGACTTACAAACAAAGATAATGGTTTACCCTTGAATTTGATAACAAACTGTTTGATGACAACTAACTCTACTAATAAAACGAATAACAAGAAATGCTGGGCATATATTTACTAGTTAGTAAAACGCAGACAGTATATACGCATAAGCCATTCTCCTAAGTCCTTAGATAGTATATTAATTTACTAATAATGTCAGATAATTACATATGAGAAAATAGAGCTAATGCTGCTAATGGGTGTGCAACTGTTGTAGTTGAAAATAAGGTAGGATATAATATAGAAAAATTGAATTGATATTATCTAAACGCAATCAATATATGTTTGCTAACAAAAAACGATTCGGACGAAGTTCAGACATTTATTGAAACACCACGATTTTTATAATTTACGTGTTAATTTTAACATTAAACGCTTAAAAAATTTATACGCTTCAATGCATTCGACTTTTTGTATTAACCGATAATTAGAACTTAAAATCAACCAAGTGTTAAATTTTCAAGCATTTCTGATCGAACCACAACATTTTTATCCACATAAAACCAAATAAAAACTATAAAACTACATGCAATTGTCAAATAATTTTAAAAAGTTTCAAGTATGCCAGAATATTTTGAAAATTTTACCATGTCTAGAAAAGGCCAGTCTGTGAAAATGTCACGCCTCTACAATTTGTTTAAAAAATAAAATAGAACAAAAAAAAAATCGAATATAATGAAACATTTATTTCTGTAAACTTTTACGTTTTTCTTACGTTTTTTTTTTCAATTATAAAAAAAAAAACTACGGGAAAAATCGAAAAACTCCCTCCTTATTTATCAACAATACAAGCAAAAATTTTATAGAAAAGTTACTACTTATCAAATTTTCAATAAGAACATTGGTAGAAAAACCAAATTTTAAAATTTTAAATATTGTAATCGTTACGCCGCAAATATTTACGGTTATATTATTATTTTGGTTATATATTTGTCAGTTTATATACATATTTTTCTGGTTTTCCTAGTTATTAAAAAAACCGCTTAAAAACAAATTATCTACTAGATCCAAAATTAAACAAAAAAGATTTCTTGTTAATTTTTGATTTGATAATAAAACCAATTTATTCTTAGCACTGCTTAGAATCTAAATTAAAAATATAAAACATATTTGAAACTCAATATATGCAAATATAAGTCTTAATATAATTAAGACTTCTTTAATTTTTAAAACCAAGGTAAATGATCACAGGCTTAAAAATGACTATGATTATTAAAATAAAATAAAATAAAAATAAAATTTCTCAATTTGCGTATAGTAAACACAAGTTCAACAATATATCATCTGTCATCCTTGAACAAAACCACGTTTTCACTCTCCTAAGGGTAACAATTCGTACTTAAAATTATTATTTTAGGCAAATAGGAAAACCCTTAAGCTTTAGCCGTTAGTTGTGCCAGTGATTTAGAAAGAAAATACTGGGTGAAAAACCACGATCCCAAAGCACTTTAGTAGTAGTAGATCCTTCAATCTACGCCAGACTATTCGCTACTTCCTAGAAAAAAACAAAAAAATGAAATATTCGTTAATGTTAATCTTGAGTAAAATGTAAATAATAAAAAATCTGATAACTCTATATTAAGTGCAACTCAACAGGTAAAAATTATTCAATGATTTATTTAGTATGACTGAAGATCCCAGAACTCTAAATATTTCCTTGATAAAAAAAGGCAACAGACATTTTAGGAAGTTAATAGAATTCAATTGATTATCTTACAAAAATGTAAACCCGCTACAATTTCTTCCAACCCCCCCCCCGCCCACTATTTTTCAACACAAAAATAACATATTACCCAAAGAACCGTACGATTTTCTTTGTTCGTAACAGTATATAAGTCTAAAATTCTATGAGGTTGTATAATTTATTACGGCCATTTTAAAACACACTCTGTGCGGCATACGCTATTAATCAAAGGATATCAACAAGTTCAAAAGTATTAAAGTTAAATTAATATTAACTTTTTTCCACCCGACAAGTTAAATACAAGTAAATTCTTGACATTCAAACTATTTATAAATAATTATGGTGTCTTAAAACATCATTTTCTCTAAACGTAACCATATAATATAGCACTTGTGAAGTTTCAAACACATAATCATTTTAGATTGAAGCGCAGCGAGGGATCTAACGGTTTTACCATTATGTGTATTTTCGTATTTTTGTGTTTTTGTAATTTTTTGTAATTTCAAATCGCCGGAAATATAATTTTACTGCCTATTATTCTAAGAATTTTAATTAAATACAATTTGATATATATTTATCTAATATCAAAATTTTATATTTTTCTAATTTTAATGATAAGTGTTAAAAAATATCCACAAAACACTTATACAGGGAATGTCAATTATAAGACGTACGGTTATAAGGTTCAGGTGCTTATTAGACTCAAAATGACTTGGGACGGTCCGGACTTTAACAAATACATTCTACCCTTTCTCCACTTTGCCTGTAATGTTCATTCGATTATAAGACTCATTATCTTGGCGTATCAAAAATGCTTGAAAATTTAATATGAGGTTCATTGTAGTTTACACTTAGTGATTAAAAAAGTTCAGCATAATTTGGTAATTTTTGTCTTATAAGAATTTTAAAATCAAATTTTGACAAAAATCTTCAAAATTACGTCATTTCAAAGCATAGTGTAGATAAATTAGATAACTTTATAAATCCACCTTTCCAAATTCCTTTCCACCAACAACAGTAATACACATACACCCATCAATATTATACTAAAATATAGAATTTACTGCACTTAGACTAAGATACTAGTGCCGCATTGTATGTTAAAAGATATTTGACCTCGATTTATTAAGAGGGTCTGGAGTCATTTGTTTATGTGTGGTATAATTTTGTGAGAGGAAATTTAGTACTAAAAAGGTTTTCAACAATATGTATTTGTTCTCGACTACAATTACTTAAAACAGGGCCGTTTCCATATACTCGTACATATGAATTTAAATTATAGTATTATACACAAATAATACTTACTCGACACTATTCTCCGCCTACTTAAATTTAAAAGTAAAATATCTCGTTAACGGGTTACGGAAATCATAAATGTTTAACACCAAAATTTATTTAAAATAATACTCCTTTTATTTTTGGATTTTTTAATATAGGTTCTCATTTGAAAAACCAAAGTATATATCGCCATCCTTAAATGTTATGAAAAATCTAAGTATTCAAAAATATCGGCATAACTTTAATTAAAAATTCCAAAAATCAGACTAATTAAAATTAGAATTTATGCAAAATTTAACCAAACAATCAGTCTGTATATTATATATATATATATATATATAAACTATATAGATTATAGTCCATAGAACTATATTTTATGTGTCTATGTCAATAGAAAACTAATGAAGTTTAAATTCGCCGGAGGAACAAAATAAGGTATGAGGACATCGTATTATGGGTAGTATTTCCTAGTTAGTTTATTTAATTCATCTCTGAATAATATTAGTTTTATGTACAGTAAATCGTTTATGTCTATTTGTATTAAGTGTGTTGCATTCATTGTAGTGTTTCATATACACTAGCTCAGTTTTGCGGAAGTAGTTTACAAATCACAATAGTGTATGATTGAATGTACTAATATTTCCTTTTGAACAATGGCCAAAAGATAATACAGCACGCAGTATTTCCTATATAGGAAGGTACCTAAAATAATAAATTATACGTATACATACGAGAGCCAGTACCAATTCATTGTTTTTGGTTAGTAAATTCAAATCATCGTCATATTATTATAATCGTTCGAGTATACCGGCATACAAGGCCGTAACTGAAAATATATTTTTTATTATCAACCAATCTGATAATTTTTTTTAGATTCTGATCGGAGTGAGTAGCCTGTAACCACTTTTTTGGTAAAATATCCTTCAAAACTTTCACATTGTAACATCTTAATAGATGCAAGATTGTCCACCCGACGGAACGCCTTTATTTAATACATTTTCCTAGATTCCCAAAAGTTGTTTTAAAAAGTTAAAAAAAAAAAACCCAAAACCAAATGATAATACACCAGTTTTGAACAGAATATGTTAAAGACAAAACTGAATTTCGGATTTTTAAATTGACTATTCTTTATAATGGCTCATACTTGAAAATTGGTATTTATTATGACTCTTGTTATTTCCAGTTCTGGGAAACCCTGTACTTCTCGGGGCGTACCGGCAGAAACTGTCGGCACATTATCCCTATATCCGCGATCATCATTGCTGCAAGGTTATGGCGTTGTGAGAGTCAACAGGTATGTGTCGTAGATGACCCACGGCTTTCGCCCTAGAAGCCGTCAGGGACAGACAAGGGGAAGTAGGGCTTCGAAAAACTCGGACCTGACGGTTACTAGTACAACATTGCCTACGGAAATTAGCTAACACTAGGACATCGGAGAGTGGTGAGACCCGTGTATTCAGCGATCTCTTCCTGGGCATTACCATTAGCCGACCCTAGGAAGTTAAAATAATGAGAGAACCATTTGGCAGAGGCGCTAATATACATCATTATGGCCGTACATCAACTTTAAGCTATAACCGTAAACTTTAAATTCAAGACAGTAGCACTGGAGACGGGGTTCCCGCTGTCGGTTGGTCCGGCCGGTTACAGCCTGTGTGGCTGACCAGCAGTGCCCATCAAAGCTGAGGTGCTTCTTTAACTGTAACGTGGTGGTTGTGGGATCGACGCCTGATAGTGGAAAAAGAAACACCACAGTACCTTGTGGAGGATCGGTTTCCTGACTGAGATACATCAGACCCAATCCAAAAAGATACGGATACACAAATCCGGTGCTCGTGATCCCTAGATGACGCACGACCCTCGGGTCGTGAACCCTCCGTGGCTCGTAAGTAGCTATTATAGTTAAGACACAGTCCGGGATTGTACCATGCTCTGCACGGATTAAAATTGGATCCACTGTTATTTCCAATGCATTCCAATCTTCCCCCCTACAATAGTGGTCTACTCATGAATCATGATGCGAAGTATCTATGTCCCATTCGAATCATATTGCTTTAATTTCAAACAATTTTTAGGGCCTAAACTCCTGTCAACCTTCAAAATTAGTAAGTTTCAGTCTTTCCGGAGTCGGTGGCGCTGTCAGTAAGAGCTGAACATATATTTTTATATCCTTACCAAAATCCATGTATTTTATATTTTTTTTTTTTTATGAGAATTTAAAAAATACATTAAATTAATTAAAATAATATAAAGTAAAAAGTTATTAATTAAACAATAAAAACTTTTTTTAGTTTTAATATTGTTACATACAATATAATAATTTAATTATCAGTCTTTGACAAAAAGTAAATGAATTTGTATACATTAAAGGTAATACTTAATTTATTATGTGAATTTTCTTCAAATAATTAATTATAACGAACAACCCATTTTATTACAAAACACAAATCATTTTTGGCGATAGTAAATTTTCTGTTTTGGAATCTATTATAGTTTGGGTTTTGTGATTATTCACCAATCGTTTCCAGATAATTAAGATATCCAAGCCGACCAACAAAACACTTAGTATGATCCTAGCTTAATAATTGTCATCGTTGTTATCTTATGTTAAAGATAATATACTTAAAACTAGATATTAACAGTGGCATAGTGCGATGTAGTCACTAGCATAAGCAATCACCAAAAATGGTGTTTTGATAGTTTACTAGGAAAAAACGTGTCCACAGACTAAAAGAAAGAAATAATAAAAAAATAAACATCTTAGTAAAACCAATAGCTCCCTCGCTACGTTCGGAATCTAAAAATATTAAAATAGGGTAAAAATTTCAACCCATAATAATGCGTCCTGTATTTATATAAAACTCGTTACACACGGTTAGGAAATTTGTAACACGTTTAATAATATAGATACTAAACATTACTTTATACATAGTGGCGGTAGTATAATTATTTATGCTAATGGAATTAAGTACCTCTTCGATATGAACGTCAAATAGTTTAACATCGATTTATTAGAATTCATATACTAAGTTAACTCCACGTCATATTCATATGACTATTGGCATTTGAATAAAACAAAAATTACTTTTAAATACCACGTATAAACAAACGATTCAGTAATATCACATTTAGTTTATGAAAAATGCAGTGGCGTATTTAGGGGGGGGGGAGTGTCCTGAATGTTAAAGCCCCCAAATATTTTGTTTAGTTATATTCATAACTGAAGTATCGTAAAATATTGTTGACGAATGCCGAAATATTTTAAAACTCCTTTGAAAATTTCTGTCATGGATTAATAATAATTGGAGACTACCAAACGATAATAATATTAAGTTTATGTGTATTACACGGAAACATTGTGAATATACGAATAGATGAACTTAATTAAACTGATATGGGAAATTACTCAGTAAATTTAAGTGTTAAATTTTAATTTATTTAGTCGAATCGTTAATACTTTATTCCTGTCATAATTTCATTATAATCAAAAATTTAAGTGACAATTTTTTTACAAGAACATGACCACTTAAAAGGTTTTAAGGTGTATTATAACCAGGTATGAATTCTTGACGAAACTATGTTAACTCGTCACTCGAAAATACAATATCGACGGTTATCATTTATTAATTTAAAAAAAAAAGATCGAAAATTAAATACGTGAATCCATATATATATATATATATTTATAGATTCGTTTTATTTCACTCACCTCGAAATAAGGCTATTAGATATTATTTAAAAGTCTTAATAGAAGTTGATTTTAAAATAACTAGTTTTGTTTGCAAATATAAAAAAAAAAAAACACCTAATCTTTTTTAGCAAGTGTATATACTTATGTATACAATAAAATGGCGTGTCCCGTGAGTAAATCAGATTAATTTTATTCGGTTTAACAGAATAATAATATTCTCAAATAACGGCGGAAATCATTAGTGCGATTATCATTATCCGCAAACCACGAAAAACGATTGAGCCATTAAAACAAATACGTTTTAACACTCGATTTATAACGTTTATTTCTTGACGGTTTTTCGAAATTGCCGTACACCAAAGCATGTTTAAAAGATTAGGTCAAATTATGTTATGTTAGGAGAAATTGAAAATAAAGGAAAAACGGCAAAAAAAAAAAAAAACGCGTTTCAAAATTATTCCTTGAAGTAATTGGTACGTTCTGCAATCTCTACTGTATTATAATTAGTTTAGGATGTGTAAAAGGATTGTATTGGATGATTCGTATTAGTTATTATTACGGTACAAAGTAACCGTACAAAACGAGTATTTCAAAATTTTTTTTTTTTTTTTTTCTGAAACTCGTGAAAAAATAAAAACTGAAAAGCGCGTATTATTCTTATACCAAACTCATATTTCTCGACTTGTGTACGCGTCAATAATATCAGGAACGCGTCATAATTATTATAATGATTGTTATGTGGAACGTACACAAATATCGTCGGGGCCTGGAGACGCCGCCGCGGCGTCGGCACAGCGTCGTCGGCGGGCGGGCGCCGGTCTGTAGAGCGCGCACGGTGTGACGAAAAATAGTACGAGAGATGTGGTGGCGCACTGTTCGCGGTAGTCACGTGTTTTACCGTCCGGACGCACTCTTGTCGGACGCAAGTGGTCGTTTCGCCGGCAGTTCTCTCGCGTCGAGTGGTCATAGTGAAAATACGATAGACGGACGTTAATAAGTGCAATAACGGTTTCCCGAGTGTCGGCGAGTTGTTCGTCACCGAAGGATGCCCTACGGCGTGTTAAATGTCAAAATGTTCGAACACCCGTGAAAAACAAACGGTAAAAAAACCAAAGACCAAATCGTGCGAACCAGGTATAATGCTTATACGTATAGTGTCTTCTTCTCGTGCGTCTTTATCCAAACGCAAGTTTTTAAAATTACATTGCAAACATCAATATCGCACCTTAATTTATGTCCGCTTGCAACTTTAAGTTTTAAAATCCCGGGTAAAAAATTACAGCCTTAGGCGATCTTTTTCGCCTTTATCCTACGTGTGTGATGTCAGTTACTGTTCTTGCTTTCCAATGACCACTTTTCCGTCAACATTTCGCTGTCTTCTCATTATAGCCTCATATCTGCCCTTATCAAGCAAATTATTTCTTTCTCAGACTTTTCTCCCAGTTAATCCCAACCGAACGTATCATATCAACTCGCCTTTATTATTGACTATTTCATCGTTCGTCCTCTCAGTTCGCCCGTCTTACCATACCATTACTCATTTGTTCTGTAACACCCGCTACTTGTAGAACATGCCTGTTGTATAGCATATTATATTACATAATACTATCAAATTTGGTCAGGTACACCAAACATTCACCTTAGTATTCTCATTTCTGCTTCTTTGCCGATTATCGTTGGACTCACAAAAGTTATATACTCGTAAAACATTTATATTATCTTAAAGGACATGTTTTTATCACCCAACACGCCAACGTTTTTCTCCACTAAATTTAGCCAAAAGTAATTCAACTAACTATACAGCCTACATAATTTCTATAAATTTTCTCATAACGCTAAATCTATAAATTGAACTGGTCGATTTGATTTATAATTTGACAGTGAACAAGAAAAAAAAATAATAACAATAATAAATCTCGTTTAGAGCAATAAATTGATAAAAAAAAAAAAACTCGCAAATGAGTGATCTCGTCACCGAACGATTGTATAAAAACGTATGCTAATGCGAACTGACATCCGCTTTGCCTTTGCACCCTATTGTTCGATAATAGGGTAACGCTTCGGAATAACAACGTCTCCGAGCAACGGCGAGTTATTTCTAAAGAGTTTTCACAAAGTTAAGCGAAACCTTTTGTGTACAACCGCGGCGACCGTGTCTATATTTTTTTCCCCGTCTTATATTTATATACTTCAGATGCAATCCAATAGCGCTTTCAAAACCCGGCAGAAAAATAATGTACAATCGCCGCGATACTGCTCCTGCAGTTGGTCGCAAAACTACAATCTATAAAAACGTTATCTCTATGTAGTACTCGCCACCCGGACTTCTTTTCTGGAAATCAATTTCAAATTAAAGTGAAATGCACTCTTACGTATTTTTTTTTTTAACCGAATCACCAAAGAACACAGACCGCTTTTTTAGAAAACAATATAAAATGAATGCGTTCTTCATAAACACTGCTGCAATTAGCTTGATTGGATCTTATTCGAGGTTTTTTGGTATTTTCTCGTTAATTGATACAACGATACTCCAAACCCATATAATATTTTTACAACAACGATTGTATAAATATAATTTGCAAAAAATATATTACTTATTATATAATACATTTTGATTATATAATATGTTTTTATTAAAATAAAAAAAAGAATTGTAAAAATACATACTGTAATCGAAATTTCATTCATTTCATAATCAGACGATTACAAAATAATATTGCAAATAAAAATATAAATATAATTAGTGAGAAGATAATATAAGGACTGATCACATGTAATCCTAAATAATAGACGAGAGTTTCGTAAAAGTAATAAAAGATTTAAAAAAAAAAGGTATACCTACTACTTAATATTTTTATTGGACTTTGGCGTAAAAAAAAAAGTTTTTGGTTTTTAATTCTTGACCGACGGCGTGCAGTGCGCTAGCAGTGGTTTTAATACCTACTATACCAGCCTTCATATAGTTTTCTGAATTAATTTATGCACCCCAAAAAACAGGACGAAACGACGAAGAGTAGGACTTTTAATGAAGGGTTTATTTTTTTTTTTTAATTCCATCAACACTGAGTTTTCCATCAGTCGACGTCACTGACCGTGCGCTGCCGACACTGCCCAAGTCATGGTTAAATGTTGAGTTTAATTTCATAGTACTATAATATAATTTATAAACGTTTCAGCAAACATACTTAACTTTGACTTATATACATGCGGCGTAACACAAAAGCGTGTTTACAGTCGGTTTTGAAAGTTTGATCACAACTTCTGCTCACCACACATGCACACGCCCCCAAGGATAAAGGACGAGACTATTAAATCGGTATAATTTCTGATTATAAAAATTAAAATTTTAAGAAGAAAAGAATGAAACTTTTATTTTTGTTTTTACTATCCTATACCTACATTATTCAAAAAAAGACAACATCGTAATTTATCGTAAACAAATTTATTCTCTTTTTTTATTATTATTTTTAATCTTGAAAATTATACAACCCGTACACATATAATACAATAAGCATAAAATATAATAAATTAAATAAAAAAATTAAATAAAATGTACATGAAATGAAGATGCCATCCAGCGACAGTACTTCGGCGGGAGTACAAATTTATTCTAAAGCATGTATTTTTGTAATATTATGATATCAAATTGAAAGATTTTTGTTATTAATTATCGGTTATTTATTTTGAAATTAATGTAATCAGACAACTTACACAAATCATTCAATGATTTTATTGACGTACAGCACACTTATTTTAAATTATTTTTGAAAATCCATTAAATTTCAATATCATCATACTATTTTTGTTAAAACTACAGAATCGTTGACTAATGGACATAATTTGTGTTTTGTTTCTAAAATATAATAAATTATATATTCAATATATTTTTTTTAGTAGGTATTTTAAAAATAATTTGATCGTTTTTTTTTTTTTTTTTTGTAATCTAGTTTCTATACTAGATGTCAACTTGATCAAATCATTACCTAATAATATTATATCTATACTTAATTACATACCAAGTTATTTGGTTTGAAAATAATGACACGACTTTCAGACCACCAAAGTTCACGCGAACTTGCAAATATTTTTAAATCCTATAATAACACTCTCGCGTGATACATTAATCAACGATGGAAGGGAATTTATTCGTATAGTGTTGCAATTTTCTTATTTAATTTTAGATTACTCGTAATAAGTTGAATAATAATTCCATAATCAACATCATACCTATATTATTCGCTATTCTGCGAACACCAACTATTCCCGGGAAAAAGTAGGAATTTACTCGTGATAATATTATGTACTACGTATAACAGTATGTAGGTACAATATTACAACTTGCAGGTTTTAGGTGTAAATTTATCGTCTTTTGAAAGATTTATTTGTAGCTATGTGTACACTACACAAAACACGCGCATTCACATACACGCACACACACATTATACACATACCTAAATTTTGCATATAAATTCACACGGTGGACCGCAAGTTTAAATTTACACACATTTTCGGATAAATTAAATTTAGCTATATTTTATGTTACATTTGTAGGGATGTTTATATTGATAGATATTCTTTGTACAATACGTATAGTACCTCTGTCTCAGTATATGTATAAACTCATTATAATTATATTATAAATTTTAATTTTTTTTTTTTTTTTTTTAAACCATAGATCAGAAATTTAGCAATCGTTGAATTCATTTTTATTTCTATAACGATATTTCTAACTTAGAAATGAAATGCATTGATTAGATTAATCAAATAATTATTACAATAATAGTATCTTTTACCTATTGCAATGGTGTGTGTAATTACTAAAAAATAACAATTTATCGTATTTTTTAAAACGAAAAATTGTTTAAAAAATAAAACTGTTCATAAATGTTAGTCAAATATAGAATATGAATTATTGCTTGTATGAAATGAAATGTTCGTTTTTAAGATAGAAATAAATATGAATTTAAACATATTGAAAAATGTGGATAGTTGAAAAATTAAATGAAATATTTATGTTCGAAATTATATGCGAATGTACATAATATATTATCTACACTTTTTATAGAAATCATTTTTATTTTTAGAATTGTAATAATTCAGATTCTGGGAGCAGCTCGGAAGTTATTAATTTTAAAATGATATATTTTTCGAATACGTCAAATTTACAATGATGTATTATATTATTTTTATATTTTTTTATCTAGTGTGTCGAGTTATCGAGAAAAATAAGTGCTTCAAAATAGCGCTGTTTTATAGCTATTGTTCTATTGATTGAAAACTATACAGGCACACAAGTTATTTTATTCATTATTTGATTAATATACTTTCTTTTATTTTTATTGGAATATTTGTACAATACAAAAATAACCTCAAACAAACTATGAATACAATTATTAGTTTCTTGTAATTCAGAATTACTTCAAAATACCATCTATACAGTACCGTACATTTATTCATTATTTATGATTTATCATACCCATAATACATTATACATACATTTATTTACAAAAATTAAATTAAAACCATAGTAATCATATTATGTATTACAATAAAAATACTCCATATGTTGACTAAATATTATGAATTTTATCATCACGTTTGATGGTATTACTTTGATCCTTTTTGCATGCAAATGGTTTTATGTTTTATTATTATTGTTTCGTACAAACCGAAATATAATTACAATTTCATTTAATTCTAACCTAGTGAAAAACTCGTTAAAATAATATGTTAGGTATAATATTTTTGTCGTGACATTTATAATTTTAATTTTTAATCTTTTATGTTTTATATACAATTTTACTATTAATTCAGATATTTACCCTTACTCGTATATCTCATCTATATTTTCAGTAGACCTCAAAACATTTTTACAAACCATTTTTTTTTTTTTTTTTATGTTTTTTTGAATTTTAAAAACGTTTTGCATATACCCTTTACTGTAAATACTCGGTATCGTTTTCGGAGCGCCGCTGTCTGGTTTATAATTGGTTTCGAATTTATAGTCATATTATACAATGGTACGATACTAATATTTTCGTCGAGTTGAACGAAATGAAACGAGACGAGTACCCAACACCCAGTCTCGAGGGGCTGACTGCGGAATGTTGTAGCCACTCCATAATATTTTATCTGACCTCAGCTTATAGTCGAAATTCGTTTTTTTTCCGCGAATACGCATTTTTAACCAAATATTTTATAAGTTATTGATACTCGCATTATAAACATTAGCCGTTAAGTGAAATTGAATTTGCGTCATAATAACGAAACAAGCTCATTTCTAAGAGGGGGTGGGGTGAAAGTCGACTGAGCAAATTTCTCATTTTTGATTGCTAGAAAATTAAACTAATATCAAATTTATTCAGAATACATGTGAATTCGAAAATGTTTGACAAAGTTCTTAAAAAATATTCCATGAGGCTATAACAAGTGTAACAAAACATTAGTAAAAACCTATAATGCCCAAATAAGCTATATATTTTTTATTTAAACTTATATTTTTGGTAGTTAAACGTGTTTTAAAAAAATTATCCAAACGCTTTTCACCCGTAGGTACAAGGTAAATATACACGTTACTTTTAGATGGCGAAATGAAGTGTAATTGCATGTATTAAATGTATTATAATATTATAATACAAATAACTATAAAGAACACACATAAGAATATCATGGTTAGGAAACTGTCGTGGTCAGAAACTTGTGAAAGTATTTAATGATATCGATTAATTTAGTTTAAATATTTCTGAATACAACGACAAATCATTAGTAATTAGTTAAAAACAAAAAACTAGCCGGAGCTCATAGAGATCTTTTACCTGATTGCGATGACAATCGTTAGAATCATTTCCCTTGGTTGTCAAGGGAATCCGGAAATCAAGAGTGTTGAGGATTTTTACTAACTTTAAAAGTGTTCATTAATCTTGTTAACACCAAATTACTAGGTCATAATACCTGGTATTTTTAAGTGAGGTAATATAGTGAAAACGCATTTGGTTTTATACTTACACAGGTCGGATCAGGTCATATTTTTTAGTCCCCGTATCAAAAACCGGGCAATAAAAAGAATCATAATATGGATCAATAAGACTACGTCATGATAACGGTAAAACGGTTAAAAATAATATGATGATATTTTGTACACTAAGGTCAATTTTGAATTTTAATTTCGATTATTCTTAATCGAATAAAATATGTTGGTGATAATAGACGATAATATTCAGTCATATGGTCTAAACATAATTTTTTATAGGTATAGACAAAGATGAACCAATAGGTTAACGGGGATAAACTGTTAGCCAATAGCCTAAAATGTTTTATACGTTAAAAAAGAAGAGGTGTTTCTACTAATGGTTGTAAAAGTTGGAAATTTGATATATAGTTATTTAATCTAAATTTATACTCAACGATATTTTATTGTTAACGAAAAACGATTCTGATCGAAACTTAATTAAGCAATTCTTTAAAACAAATTATAACAAAACACATATTTATTTATGAATTGTACCTATGGTAAAACTGCAGCAGCGCCGCCGCACTCTATACCACCATTACCACCGTACTCGAACGGCGAACACGTAATCGTTGACACCACCGGTGATATACACGGCAGCCAAAATTATCCCATATACACTACCACCGCAACCGCTGTTACAACTTTATCGTGCGTGTGCGCTAGTTCAAAGATTTCGAATGCCTATAAATTGTTCAAAAGTCTCTAGAATGTTTTGAAAAATTGTCCACGTCTATATAAATCTAATATAAAAACTATGTGCAAATTTCAGATTTCTACGATTATTTTTAACCGAATTTTGACAGAAATAAAAATCGAAAATAATGAAACAGCTTTTCCTATTTTTTTCTGTTTTTCACAATTACAAGGAAAATTAAAAAAATAAAGCCCCAATTTAATCATGAATACAATGAAAAAAGTCTATAATTTTTTGACCAGCCCAAGAATTCTGATTCAAAATATATTAAAAAAATAATAATAATAATAATAACAATAAAACACACATGGTAATAAAAACAATACATTCTTTGCTACTATCAGAATCTTAAACCATAAGTTCACCTTACTCATGTTAACGTCAAAGTGTCAAACTTGAATATACCTTTGAGGTAACGTATACTATGTTTTTGATGGCGTATCATTTTTAAACCGAATGATATCATTGTTTTACGACGCAGTATATTTTATTATGAAATCGGATAAACAAAAAACTACACTCCACGTATTTTATTATGCTGAGACAAAAACAAAATTATTCATACTCTGAGTTAAAATACATAACGTACGGAAAGATATAAATTTAAAATCGGCAAAGAAATGTTGAAAATATTTTATACGAGAGCTAAAAACGATTATACGGTACCTCACTAACAATGGATTGGAAATATGACGTAGCTACTTTATAGCTTTTTTACCTGTATTGGTATTGAACCTCTTTTGAGGGGAAAGGGATATTAATAATTGTATTATTATTTTATTTTTTTTTTTAATATGTGTAAATTCCAAAGTTAAATACTAAAATTTTTGGCACTATATAATCTAAATATACATAATGTATATATTATATTTATTACATATAGGTAAGTTATTAATTAAACGAATATTAGTTGAAATTATTACATTGATTCGATAAAATATAGTACGTTATAAATCATGATTAACAAAAAAAAAAAAAAAAAAAAAATATATAAGTGCCTACAGTTAAAGCTTCACCCGAGAGAGGGTCTTAGGGGACAACCCCCTCCCCAGCCACCGAGATTTTTTCATGTTACGGTTTTACCTACAATTATATTTTGAATAGGTTCTAGCGAATATATTATATATTATGTAGACAAAATCTGACGGACTCAATAGTTCATTGGTCACGAATCGAACGTTTATCAAACTTCGGGAGAATAATATTTACTATTATTATTAGGATTGCCAGATTTTTAAATCCCCAGACAGGGACATGATATTGAATGACCTTTTTTTTTTTTTATGTTACGCTAATTAAATACATGTATACGGTTATTCCAGCCGGAGTATTTGTGATTACTATGAATGATACAATAATGCAATGTACGATATTCTTCTATATTTTATTATTAGATAATACAATATTAAATTTTATATTTCTCTCTCAGGCCACTACTATTGCAGTCCGGGACAAACTGAATGACCGGCCGGGACACCGAGACATGCCCTTAAAACCGGGACGAATGGCAAGCATAATTATTATTATTATTATACGGGTACGTTTATAATGATGGCAATATAGTCCACGGGGGGAACGGGGGACGGAGGTGAAGGAAATAAAAAAATAAAACGGACGGACGGAGAAAAAGTTTTTTCGCATGTTTATAATGAAATCTAAAAACGCCGCGGTCCCGAGCGGATTGCAGGCGACGACGACGAGGATATAACCGGACTGACAGGTCCGCGCGGGTATACGTCATCCTGACCAACGGCCGTTTCGAGGGAACGTACGGTATAACGACTTTCGGCCGGTGCGAGAACAGCGCCCGCCGTCCATTATCGCTCGCTGATGACTTCGGGGACGAACACATCGCCGCGCGCCTGGGCAAAAGGGTCTATCGGACGGAGACCTGGTGGGAATTCGAGGCTCCGCAGTCGATACGCGCGCACACACAAATCCCGGCAATCTGACTATCATACAATAGGGGAGGGGAAGGAGAGGCTCGGTTGGCCTGCACAGTTGTCAGATTATCGGGATTAATAGAAAATAATAAAATAATAATAAAAATAATATGGTATGTACCGAATCAAATTGTATAATATTACTGTAGATGAATTTGAATTTAAAAAGGCAGTAACCGTTTTCAATATCTTGACATAATAATACAAGTAACAAGGGGGTAAGGGGTGCGAGAATGAATGTGAGAATTTGGATTGTAAACTTGGCCACTGAGGAAACCAGATGAAAATAAATGTTTGGTACTTGAAAGAAAAATATTTCCGACGATCTTTAGACTAGTAAAGGATAACTATCGATGAGTGGAGACTTAGGAAAAATAGAAAATCACTACAAATAACGTTTGAAGATAATAATATTTTAGAGATCATTGTTGTTCATCATGTTGATGAAAAATGTATATTTAACATTTATTGTATATTAATTTTATTTGAGTCTACTAGATATGAATTCAATAAATAAATAAAATGGAAGGAGAAAGATTACGATAAGCTGGACATGCATAAAGAACCATTAACTTTTTTAAATCCCTTCAAATGGTTAATTTTTTTAATTTTTTAAAAATGCATATGAGATGGTTTTCTTCAAAATATTTATTATTAATATTTTTTAAAATATACTTATATATTATCTTAAAAAAAAAAAAGGCACTTTTGTCTGTATTATGTTAACATGTTTTACCACTCTTCCCGCTTCACTCTTCATTATCTATAAGACGTGAGACGTCTTCCAAGGAAATATTCAGTCAATTATGCTCATTTGACTCCGAGACATGTGATCAACGAATTTAAACTTTTACCAAACGATCAAACTTTTTTTTTATAGTTTCATATTATTTTCTAATTTAATAACACGTATTAATATAAGAGCGTGTACACTATACACAAGATTACCCAAGCCATCAACTCAAAAAAAAATTGTAAAAACCTACTTTCCCTTACGAAAATATTATTGTCAGTTTTGAAAAATGCAAACGTGACTCAATAATTTCAAAATATTCTATTAAAATAGATTTATCAAAACTTAAAATTTAAAAAAATCTTCTAATACATAATTTTAACGTGAATTAGAAGATTTTTAAGAGAAAATATTCATTTAAAAGGTCACAGGTTCTTAAATTGAAAAGGTTATAAAATAAAATAATTGATTAAATTAATACCTATTAAATTTACTCTATAATGTGTTTCATTCATTGTTATTCATTTTTTGTCTTTCCTAAAATAAAAGGTGAAAACCGTCGATAAAACGGGAATATACAATAAAACTCGCTTAAGACGCTCCCGCTTAAGACGCTTTCCGGCATAAGACGCTGTTTTCCGTAGGTCACTAGACATTTCCTATACTAGTCAATGTAAAGATCACCTGTTAAGACGCTCGGTTTTTCTTTATCTAATCGGACAAGACGCTCTTTTGTTCAGCAGATCACGAAAAATCTTAGTAGTTTTGTAAAAATAAAAATAAACACACCTATCAGAAATTCGAAAAGTATTTTTCTCTGTAGAAAATGCCGAAGAAATTTTGAATTATGTTAACAAAATAGAAAAATTTCTTGCTGAAACGCATTGTCAGAATCTTAAGCAAACAAAAATTGATAATTTGTTTAATATAATAAAATAGAAATAATAATAATAAAAATACATATGTATTTGTATTAATGTATTTCTTTTTTAATTGAATTCAATATCAAAAAATTTCTGTATGTATTAATAATTAATTTATAAATGTTAAACCCGTTAAATTATGTGCAATAATAAAAAAAAATTCAATTTATCAATCACTTAATTTTTCAACTCCCGCATAAGACGCTTTTTCGCTTAAGACGCTCTTTAAGAGACCAGTTCTCTAGAGCGCCTTAAGCGAGTTTTACTGTATTTGCGGCACACTGGTTTCAGCAACCAAAATCGATTATCTTTTTTTATTGCGATATTCGGTAATGTAAAAATTGTACAAAGACCTGAAGTTTTTATTGAATATTGTTATTTACCTACACTATATAAATAATGATTTTTGATCAATAATAATTATTAGACGTAGAGATTTTCGGGCAACAATAAAGTTTTCATTTAATAAATAAGAATATTTTCAGAATATACACACAAGGGTTGACATTTTGAAATTTGTCTTAAAATTTGGTTATTTTGATACCATAACAGGAACTTCTTATCCCTCCCCCTCTTCATTTCAATCATAACCCGTTTGACGGAAATAGTTAATGTTAGGTACAATACTCAACTAAAACACATTGCATATGTTTTATTTAAAAATTATAATATGAAATATCGTCGCGGTGATATTTCATATCGTTCTGCGTTCATATTGGAAACAATGGAAATAAAGTACTATTCCAAAACCAATGTCTGCGGTTGAATCAGTCTATCATTATACAAATCTTCAACCTAACATTCAAATACGTTTGTGATTATTTGCACGTTGCCAGTTATATCTTCAACTCCTGAGAGAACGTTTTCCAATCTTAACCGTATGAACACTTATTTAAGGAGCTCTATGTCTGAAAATAGACTCAATGAGGTGGCCATGGCTAATATCAACAAAAATGAAGATATTAATGAAAATGAAATAATTACTGTCATTGCTCAAATGTCTACAATAAGGATGCAATTAACAGAATGGATCAAATAAGCAGTATTTATTTCATTTTCATTAATGTTTTCGTACTTTGTTAATAAGTTAGTGTATAAATATATATATTTTTTTTTTGTTCTAAGTATGTTAAAAAGTAAAATCCATATTAATACTAACACTTTATATATTGTTTGGGTTAAACTCCCAAAACCACTTCGTACTTACACCAATGACCGAGCAAAAAAGTATTTAGCTCACCCCCCCCCCCAATAAAAAATCCTGGCTACGCCACAGTCGTTGCCCGTGCATATGTATAAATCGGATTCTTCGTTCGTCAATTCGGCGATTTACAATTCCGCATATACCTCGTAAGTTGTGACGTTGTGACGTTATAACGTTTCGGTTACGATAATCAGATTATTTATTTGGCAGAGAAACGCATATTCGAGCAGTTAGAGTTTATGAACAAGTTTTCGGTAGATTGGTATATAATCATATCTTATCATTCATATTTAGACATTTTTAGATGGAGGTCAATAGGGCTTGTCTGACTTTGGAAGCTGGGGTGTGTCAGTTACTGTTGCATTTTAAATTTTGTGTTTATAGCGTTTATAGTGTTAATGTAATGGATAATTTGGAAGTTTTTGTCATTAATGTCCAAAAGGAATAAGGGACTAACTGTGGTTGATGAATATAAACATAGATTTATCGGTGTTTGTAAACGCGATCAACTTTTAAAGTAGCGCAGTTCTTCCAGTAAAATATGCACAATGTTTATTTTTACGGACTTAGAAAAAAAAGTTGTTCAGAATTCAACAGGTGTGCATAATCATCCAGCAGATGCTCCTAATAAAATAGAAATACAACTCCTTAGAGAAAACTGTGATCGAAAAGCAGAGGAATCATTTTCTAGTAAACCTGTAAAAATTATTTGGATAAAGTTACTCCTAACACCAGAATTCTAATGTGAATTTTTTCAAATTATTCCGACAATTTTGTTTCACCTACGGGCAACGATCCAATTTTAAAATTAATATTTCCTAATACATTAACAATAATCACAATTAACATTATTTTGTATTTCGTTATATTATAAAAACATCCACTGGATTATTATTTTTTATTTGTTTTTTGTACCTTGTATTTTTGATCTTTTTTTCTTCATCAACAATGTTGATCCTCATATGTAACTGAATTTGAATCGTTTTCAAAATTTCATAAAGAACAAAAATATTTAGATGGGGCTAATAAGAATATTTTCCAAATATTGAGAGAAGCGAAACACAAGAATTTGTATTTCTTTCGTCTGATATATTACACTATGCCCAAATATACGGTGAAAAATGTGCATGTTCATCAATGTAATATGTATCAACGTGATATACGAAAATATACTAACTCGCATTTTTATATAATATTTAAGATATCTATCGGCGCAAATAACGTACAAATAGGCGTTACATCCGAATGTCGATCGGCGCAGTTGACGTGCCTATACCTGCCTTTTCTTTTCATTTTTATCCCGTAATTTTCCTTTTTTTATACCTGCGATTTCCGGCGCAACCGATACAACCCCTTGAACGTAATATATAAGGACTGTAAGGGCTGTCGGCGATGATCGAGACGGTCGTCCGTCCTTTGCGGGTTAAATTCTTCGTCACTCCGTCAGTGCCGCACCGCCGCGCCGCGCCGCCCGGCTATAAAATATTTATTATAATACGAGTATTACGTATTATTAAAATACACGACACCGCGTGATAGTAATGCGTATTATAATAACAACAATAATAATAATAATAATAATAATAATAATAATAATATTAATAATATATTATAACCTGCGCGACGGCGTCGGTGTTTATTAATCGCGTGACGTGGGATTGGCGGGGGCGGGTCGCAAAACGCGTTTTGGCGCGGCCGTCGCGTCGTTAATCATTTTCGGCCACGGCGACGCGGTTAACATTCGCACGCGGTCAATCGCGGACGCGTATAACCGCACACCGGCCCGCGGCGCCGCCGGTAATTAATCACGGATTGATAACGCGATTTCGTTATACCGAAACGTCTGTAAAATATTATTATAATAATAATAATAATAATAACAACAACAACAATCGGCTGCGGGCGTGTTATCGCGCGCGCGTTCCGTTTCCCGTAAAAATAATTATGCGTTCCCCGACGGAAGGGCCAATCGAAAGACCCTGACGCGCGCACTGTACCGCGTACCTATCGGGTAGCGAACTTTTCAACGTTTGAACGGAAACGAATTTTGTCCGCGCACCAAGTCTGAACAAATCGGAATATTCTGCGGCCGTGTGCTGGACGAGTCACCTGTGGGGCCGCGATGACGGTCGCAACATTCCGTTTTCTACACGTTTTCGTGCGTTTCAATTGTTTTAAAAATGTTGTAGTATAGTAGCATACACGATACGAGTTCATCGAGTAGTGATGAAGAAGAAACGGCTTCGCTTTCTTGACTGAAGAAAATGAAATAACTAACTAAGAACAACAGAGACAGTGGATTCGTATTACAAACACGACACGGAAAAATTTGTGTAAACAATAATAATGACCAAAAGTACGTGAATTTCGCGCGTGAATAAGCAAGTGCCGACTACCGACGACGTTCGAAACGCTTCGGAATCGGTCAAAATATTCTCGTCAATCTATCCCCGATCCGATCCAGTGTGCGATATCCGGTTTAGAGCTAATTAGGCTAACAATATTTTTTCCGTTTCGATCCGAATCCATGCAGTGTGCGGCGAATTAAATGTTGTCAACTAATAATATGGTATTGTTAGGATAATAATTTTGTCACAAATTGGAAAGCCTGTCGGTCTTACTGTCTGAATGTAATAAAAAATGGTAGTCAATTCAATAATTGAACTGGTCACTTTTTTTTATAGATATATGTATAGGCTCTCTGCCTATATCAAACGTACAAAGCGGTATGTTATATTGTCACACATATCCAATGTCAAATACTTAAAGAACCCTGATATAGAGATCCGCGGTTAGACATTTGGCTGCTACAACAATGATAAGACATTAACCTAACTTTATTGAAACACTGTTAATCGATGGTTTCGTTTTTCGTTCATTTGCAGTAACTCTTCGAGAACTCGTTAGGGACCTATTGGAATGTCATTTTCTATACCTACCTACGTGGAGTGTAAGGTGCGGATCGATAAATCACTAAAACGGTCTCATTGATGGCGGACCGTAAACAGGTATTTCGCCCTAGGTATTTTCGGGTAATTTTGAAATGTTTGTGAATTAATTAAACGCGGGGAGGTTACAAGTACAAATAATTTTGAGGGAACAAAGCCCTCTAGATCCCAAATAGTCGCGCTTATGTGCACTTAGTCCGTAACACGGCTGCCACTCGACACTGACGGCGATATCGTTTATTTTTTTTGTTATTATTAATGACATCACGATCATGGTCGTACTCAAGAACGGTAATGTATTTCAATATTTTTCTAAAGAATCGAAGTTTTTCGGAGGAAACAACATTGACAATGTTAATGCAAGATAGGAAGAATAGTTGAACATCATAATTTGTATTATTATTGACTGGATTTGTATCCAATGGTCATATATAATCACATATAAATCATATATAAAGTGATCATTGAATGTTTGATGAAAAATGTGTTAAGTATAGTAAATATGAATATGATTTAGTATTTTATTCAAATAAAAACTATCTTAATTGATAATTAACAAAATGCTCGTGCAATTTTGCCTGAAATTATAAAACATCGAATGAAAATCGTTCATATGCTAATTATATGAATGTCGTGGCACACGACACGTCACGTTGAAATTAAAATAGTCAACCGTTTCAATTTTGAGTTGTCAGTTGTTTTTGAAGATCGTTGAGTTGCCTTTCGTCTGATTTTACTATGAATTATTATTCGTTAAAGAATTTAAATATTGTTTCCGAAGTATGAATATTCAAAGGATAGACATTTGTTTACTAAAAAACCTTAAGGTACACGTCCAATTGTTCGAATCCTTCACAAAACTCATGGACTCTGATTAAAAAATTAGTCAGAAATAAAAATTTGTAATAAAAAATGTCACAAATTCACGCAACATAATAACTACAATACATCGTGTGTCATTTATTTATGCATAAACAGGAGAATAGGTTTATTAAATAGTGTGCAAAACACTTAGAATCGAGCGAAAATGTGTACCTACCTATAGTTATATATATAAAGGAAATAATACGCCGTGTTGTGTAATGTCCGTAGGAAAATCGCGGAAGGGATAAATGGGTATAAACACGGTAAAATCGTAAAAGTTGACGAAAGTTTATTTTCGAAAAGGCGAAAAAACCGGTAGGACGGGGTATACTTAAAGAATATAGTGGATATTTGAAGGGTACTCTGTGTTTTTATTATTTCTTAAATCATAGTAGTTTGGTTGTACTATATATATACAGTTGTAGGTACCTAAACAGTAGGTTTAAATATGTATATACATAGGTACAATGAAAACATAATACAAAAGTTTTCAATTAAATTTAAGTACACATTTATTTAATATACTTTAAGTTTGGCTCTCTTTTTCCGGACACTCTACATAATGTGCCTGTATATGCTTATACTATACAGCGAGTGAGACAACACGGTGGCAGAAGGGAGACAAATAATAAACATTTATTTTTTAACTTATAATTATAAAATCGGCAGTAAGTATATTCATTCACGTAATCGCATTACTTCAATAGTGTTCATTTTCTTTCTGTAGTGTATACCTTAAACATATACTTTTTAATATCGTCACACTGAAATCGTATTTTATTATTCTCGGTACATTATGATGTTTTTTTAGGTGATTAAATGCGCACGTTTTTATTTATCGAATCGATTTTGTTAGAAATATAACTGCCGCTGTCTTTATATGCGCTGTTTAAAATATTAAACACGTCTCAATAATAAATCCGTCTATTGATTACTACATTAAAATAATAAATATGTAAATAATTCAAATACTATATTGTAAAAATATCACTAATGATTAAAAAAAAAAATAACGCTCAAAAAATATCCTAATAAAATAAATAACAATAATAATCTAAATAACTTACAATATTTCTACACGTTTTTAAATCAACTTCTTATAAATTAAGATTTTTATTATCGGGTATGGATGGTAAAATAAAAAAAAATAAAAATTGTGTGACAAAAAATATCTAAAACTTTGAGGATTAGAAGGTAGACATTAAAGTATGAAGTAATGTAATGCTTAATACGAAAATAATCAACCGTTTTAGACTCGCTGCAAAACAGAAAGGTATTTAACGATAATCTATAGAAGCATTTCAAATACAGTAATTTTCGACTTTTTTTCCTGATGTATACCACGGATATAGCACATTTAACGCTAAATTAGATATTAGATCTCGAGCGCTTGTTCGCTTGATTATCCTAATAAACCATTTTAAAGATTCGACCTCTTAAATATTGAACAGTGGTGTCAAAGTAAGTGTGTAAAAACAACTGAATCAATTATAATAATTTGGTTTGACGGAGTTGCATAGGTAAACAACAAATTGTTTTTGATTTTTATACATGATGGATGTAAAACTGAATAATAGGTAACTTTACGGAAATGTAGAATAACTGTGATTTCGAAGGAAATTAATTTCATATTTATAAGTCAACTAACAAGAATAGTTTAAAATATCTGTTACTATTTCAGATTGTTGGGGTTTATTCACATTTTATCGGCAGTTTATCTTTCATTCGCCACGTAAAGAAGGCATTATAAAAGTCTACGCGAAGTCGTGGGTAATGTAGCTAGTAATACAAATTTAATCGAATATTATCCATTTAGGAACATGTATTGAGTTTATAATGTTCATGTAAATATCTAAACTTTTGAGCGTTTAAAATAATTTTCTTCTCTTAGGTACTTTTAAATTTTAATTCAATTTTAATCACAGAAACTGAATTTTACATGCCTAAAATATTGATTAAAATAATTTTTTTAAATGTCTGTATACCTATACATATTATATAGTGTATTATATACCTACTATATTCAATATTGTATAATATATTTATATATATATTATACACTATACAGTGTACAAAGTACAGAGTATAATATGTATGTATATTATACACTATACAGAGTTTTCTCAATTCTATGTCACATACAATTTGAAAGACCATGTATATAATATGTTTCATGGGCAGATCCAGGACAAGATAACGGAGGAGAGTGATTTTGAAAATGCATATAAAGCACGCATTTATGATGAGCTCAATAATGAATCAAGCTAAGAATATAATGCGATTAAGAACGATCACCCCTATCACCCCATCCCTGGATCTACCATTGATATGTTTTATAGATTAGGTGTTTAATAATATTTATGTAAGGCTGCATATTAAATGTATTATACTACGATCACAGATTAATTAATGAACAACCACTTGATATTTTTTAAAATTATATTTCACGACGATACGATAAAGTGACACGCCTTATAGACTATAAAAAATATATATATATAATATATACCTATATAGTGTACATATATTATAGGTATAACCAAAGTATTTTTTAATGAAATTGTTTAGTTTGTAAAACTTGTGATGATCTCGATAAAAAACGTAAAAGAACTCGAAAGAATTCGTCCACGGTACTTATAAAGTCCCTATTATATATTGATCAGTGATTAATATTCACCTTTATATAAAACAAAAAGAAGCGTCTGTTAAACTGAGTTAAGACTTTTTTTCTCCGTTGAAATTTATACTGAGGCAATTTTTTATGAAAAATACTTTTACTATTTTTATTTATATATATTAACAATATTAGCTCATATTTATTCTTTCCTAACTACTAATTACTCCATTATCAAATAGCAGTAATTATTAAGAATTCTAATACCCGTGATCATATGTTTAAATAAGCACAAAATGACATACATTGTATAGAAGAAAAAAACGTCGTTTTTTCATTTTAAAATGTAAGAGTATTCTGTCAAATAATATATTGTAAGTAAGAGAAGTCATGTTTAAACACTCTTCATTGTGTAATGTATTACTCATTACTCCGGTCCTTAGTTTACCAAGGGCCGATTTTTTCAATTATCCTTATAACGGTCAGTTAACTAACCATAGGCTAATTTAATGTACCAATTAAAGTTCCGATTAAATAATCAGAGATTTATCCAGGGGCGTTTTTACGAGAGAACCCCTCCAACCGGTCCAAGAGTACTGGACCTCCCACCCCCCTCCAGAGCAAAAAAATCAAATCGAATAAATGATTCTACAGCATAGGTCAGTAATAAGTAGAGACGTTTTATACAAGTATGTATATAATATTGTGTATAATATTGAATAGTCGTGTCGTTGTACTATTAGGTTCCCAAGTTGCGACTAATATTAAAAGAGGTTTGCGTTAAAGACATGGTATCTTTCTGATAAAGACATAACGGTACGGGAAAACTGATTATTAACGGATTATAGTTTAATTATAATTAGATGACTAGACAATTGGAATTTATGGACATATTTAATATTGAACCCCTTCCAACAAATGCCCAGATACGTAACTGTTATAAACTTTGGACCCTTATAAGTTAAAAACACGCCACAGGGTTTTTCAATTTATTTTGTTATCCTGATTAACTGTAACATTATAGCAGATGGTTAACGATGAAATCAGTAATATATTTTTAAAATCGTCATACGACAAACGTTTAATTGTTATTGTTATCAGGTATTATTTTTCATTATCAGTAAAATTATAATTTTCGAACATTTTTCATGCATGTACATCGTAATTTATTTATTAACTCTGACTTATAATTATTTATAATATACTGTGACAACTTACAAATTATGTAAATATTATTTTAATATTGACCCATAGGTACCTACTAAAAAAGGCAAAAATTGTTGAGGCAAAACCATATTATTAACACAACCTTATCCTTCAACTGTTATGTAACAAAACTATTTTACGACAAAATAAAATAATAATTTAAACATATTTTTTTTCTTCTTTTTTTGTAATAGTCCCGATTAATCCAAAAGATATACATCAAAATATAAAATTATTTTATCTTAATTAATATTCAAAACTTCTTATAAAACATTTTTATAATTTATTATACTCACTATTAAACAATAATTTAATTTATTGGATTCACTCATTTAATTTTCGAGTTTAATTTAAAAGTATAATAATGAATTTAATTCAAACAAAGTTAATAATAAGAAAACTTTTGTTGCTACAGAGTGAAAACTGAATTTGAGAGAACTGCGCCTATCGTTTATTGAATTAGTTTAACTGGAACACTTTGTGTATATCTCCATACATGTTCAACCATATAATAATAATTTATGGTTTGCACAATAATTGAACAAGAGGAAGATTTACAGAGTAGCTGTGTTGTGCTCATATAAGAACGGTTTAAAATAAATATTAACATAGTTGATATCTCATAAATATTTGATATTATCTAAATATTCTAAATACCAAAATAATAATTTCCAAAACACATATCTCTGCAGGCCTCTACGGCCCTGCAGTAACCTCCCTCCTGATCAAGGGGGTCATTAGTCGTAGTTTATTATATTACATTATATATGGTTTATTTTCATATTTCATTGATTAAGTAATATATATTAACTAAGAAAATTAACGTTAACAAATAATTATCATTTAATTTTGGGTTTTTTTTTTGCCCCTCCCCCATTGAGAAATCTTGGTTACAAGCCTTTTAACAGTGGTATATTATATTCTATTCATACGTCATAATCCGTCACCCCTTTTTTGAAAATAAAAAAACAATCCATGATTTAACATAAACTACCTACCTACCTTACCAACTAATTTTAAGTATAAATTATACAGTACCATCCAAATACTATTTAGCAAATTATAATACAATTTAAACAAATGCTTTTATCTCTTATATCACGGTGTATATTATTATATTATGTTCTTTAAGTACTTAGTATATTTTTATTAACTTTTAATTAAATAATAATTCGAAAAATCTATAAAAGCCAACATGTAAATATTTCGAATTTAAGAAGAATCAAAAATATATAAATAATTAATTAATCAAATGATTCCAAGTATGACGAATGATAATTTCCATTTAAAACTTTGGATTTTAGTTGATGACATCAACAAGGACTTAATAACTCACGACTTTTAAATCTAATTGTGTTTTACATCTTTATCCTGATGTGCCTCTATTTTAATGGTTTTAAATTATTTATGAATTTAACTTTTTGATTACTTTTACATTAAAAATAAATTCAAAGGATATTTTAGCCAATACTTACGTCAATCTACCCGTGTATTAATATATTACCATAATACTACAATATAAAACAAACTATGATAGAAAAGAATTAACAAAAAGCTTTTATGTCCCTGCAAGATCTAATAAACATTTTGTTTCATTAGATCCAAAAATACTTTCTTCGTCATTATTTATTATGATCCCGTAATGGAATTCGCATCAAACAAAATTTAATTGACTTATTATAGTTTTATTTATAGCGTAGGTAATAAAATGGATATATTCTAAGTTTAGAGGCACTATTTAAAGGGGCGATGCTTGCATTTGTATATATAGGTAATATATCTATAGTGTTAATTGATACTATTGCCGGGGCATCCAAGATTGAATATTTATAATATTCAGTTTTTTATTATTATTCAAATTCTTTTTCGACCACATTGGATAAGCACATGAACATAATTTATTTAACAATAATTAGCCTGGTAGATGATAGGGAATTATCCTCAATAAAATATTTGCCTCCCATTATAAAAAACTGAAATAATGCCTCTGATTAGTTATGGCATATTCTAAGTTTATCTAATTATAAACTCAATACATAGTATAGACTTATGATTGATTTTTGATTTTTAAACATATTAAATAACAGTAAAAAAATATTATGAACATTTTAATAATAATAAATATACACATAAACTATTAAGGCTGTAACTTGAAGAAGGGGTCTAGAGGTTAAAATTGAAGTAGGCAAAAAAGTCTACGAATTAGTCTACAAACAAATCTATTTACCAGAAACGTGTTTATACCTATAAGTATTACGACCTTGACTAAATATAATAGCAATATTATATTTGACTTCTAGTATCATAATTTAGTTGCATGCTGTAGTCAAGCACGATAAACTTAAATATACAAATTATATACGTTCGTACACGATTGAAATACTTAAATATTTGTTTGTACAAATAAATAATTTTAAATTTAATGGCTCATAAAAAATGCAATATTTATACAGTATCAAAAACTGACACTTTTTTTTCTTTATTGAATACAGTAAATTTAAAAAAAACTGACACCATGGGTAGGCCACTGTTGTAAATGAGATGTTGGAAAATCAAGATATAAAGGATAATTAAATTTATATCAGTACACAACGATAAATCAGTGCTAACGAAAAACGATCTTAATGAATTTCGGTTGAACATATTCTAATGAATTGAAATTTAAAATTGTATTTTTTTGTAACTACAAGACAAATTATAATTGTTCATGTTTTTACAAATTTTAACATAAATTTAAACTATAAACATTGTTAAAAATAAATTAAAACATTTCTATTAACATAAAACAAAAAAATTCTTGTAAAATTCAAATACTTAGTAACTCTACTTATAATAGCTCAAAAAACACAAGAATGTTTTGAATATTGTGTTGTATCTAACAAATATATGCGATTATTTATCACAGAATTACATAAAAAAAAAAAAAATCGAGATAATAAAAACCATAATTGAATACATTTTGTCAATTGTCTGATGTTTTTCTGGTTTTGCCCAGTTATTAAGAAAACTACAAGAAAAATCAAAATATGAACTCCTCCATCAACCAACTTGATCCAATTTTCTACCGAAAACTATTCTTGAAGTTGACAATCAGCGTAAAATGTCTGGTTGAAAAGTTTTTACATGATAAAAATGAAATTGAAGCCCATCGTCATATTAAAACCTGCATTACATTACTCGCTACATTCAGAATCTAAAAAGCAAAAATTTAGATTCAGTTTGGATCCATAGAGATCTATTATTTATAACTTTATAAGTTAGGTTTCATAAGTTTATTATAATTTGTTTTTCTGGTTATTCGGTAAAAAATGTTTGGAATGGTAAGTATTCTTAAAAGTTTTTTTTATGAAATTCAAGTGAGTTTTACAGTTTTAATTTTAGGTTCAGCTCAAAATTGTTATTCCAATACATTATACATACAATCCATGACCTAGAAATCTATAAAGGTAAAACTATTATTAGATTCTTTTCAATAATTAAATGTCCACTTTCGTTTATATATTAAGATTTGATCGGAAAGTTACTAATCGGATGGATATTAAATTCCAAAAATCATTACTAGCCGTAACTTTTTTAGTTGTATTGTATTTTTTGAACGAATCTCTACTCAGAATTGTACGCCGAATGCTTAATGATTTATTATTGTTTTCAAACATAATATAATACCACAGCAAGCGTGTGCCCTACAGATGAGCGCGTGTAGTAGTCGGGCGGTCCGTATTTCAGCCGAAAATAATAATTGATTGGACAAGTAATTCAGCAGAACCATATTTTAGCCGACGATATTTTTATCAAACCATTTTAGCCGAAAAATATATCAGCCATTATTAAAAAACTATGATAAAAAATAATCGTAAATAAACTTGAACAAAATTTAATTATCTATTCGATTTTACACATGATTTAACTGATACAATTCGGTCATAATATTTGTCAGGTAAGACTGTTAACTGAAATAAATGTCGGCTAAATTACTGTCAACTATACAATTTTTGGTTAAAATATAGCCCCTTCCTTGCAGACACCATTATAGTTCTCGATTAGTAATTTTTTTCCTCATACAAAAAATTAATTTCTTTGTCGGTTTTAACACTAATAGCCTAGCCCGTCTTTAGGATTTGTTAAGCAATTTCTTTTAAGAAGGTTAGCTAAAACATAATATTAATAATAATAATAGTGGAAAATCTAAAAACAGATAAAGAAAGAAAGGAAACGAAATAATAATATCTTTGTTGTTGTTTCCGTGGAAATTTTCAGTCGACTCTTTTGCTTTTTAATATTAATTGTAAGGAAATTAATATTTTAATTTATTAATTAAAACCTTGCAATGGCCATTGCTGTACACTGTACGTAATACTCTTGCTGGAAAGTGGAGATGCGCTTAAATTACATTTGTGTCGGTTTCGAACAAATAACATCTTTTAACAAAAATAATTTATACATTTTTCTAAACCCATAAACGTTTCATCAAAACAATTCATACATTAATATAACTACGTAGATCATAGTTTATATACATATTTTGATGTTAAAATCTATATAACTTAACTAAAAACCAGGAGCAAATCCAAGAATTCTTCAAAAGGGAGCGTACTTTTTTGAGACATTAAATTTTGTCGGTCTTCCCATTTTGTGTACAATTTTACATTTAAGACCAAATTTTCAGTCGCCTGAATTTCGATTGAATACAATATTTTTTTTAGATTAATTTATATAGTTATAACAATAGTAGCAAAATTAAACCTGTAGAAATGCATAATTTATGTAACTAGTATATTTACGATTTGTATATAGGTATACCAGCTACCAGTTATTATTCTGGTTAAATTAATAGATATTTAATTCCATGAACATAGGCGCAAATAAAGTTTGAGATTTAGGAAGGGGAGCTATTCAATGAAGCAATCGTGAAAGTAATAAACACCAAAGAAATTTGGGGACAGAATTTGGCCCTCCTCCTTGTCATTAGTGGGCTGCTATAGAGCTTGTGTCGGGCTAGTTTTGGGCGTCAAGCCCGCAAACGTGATTCATGTCATTATGTTTAATGATTATATGATACGTTTATACTCCATACATGTTAGCAAAAATAAGAGATAAATTGTTGTGAAATTCCCCTCAAACTAAGACTTCATGTAGTAGCTATAATAGTAGATATATTTAGGTATCCCTCTACATCCCTCTATTTATTATTTAGTCGTTTTTGTCCCACAAAAGAATGGATTATTTATGTGCATGATAGTATAAGTATAAAACAATATAAGAATGGTATTTGTATTGAGATATAAATGTAATTGTGACGAATAAGTAAGCGAGCGGAGCGATCGTTGTTTTTTAGTTTTATTATGGATCTGTCAAAACATTTACTCCTCCCTACTCTCAAAAACTAAAATTATGTCATTGATTACAATTTAATTTAGATTCCACGGATATTCTATTTTTGTTTAACGACGGCATCTTTAATTTCCAATAAATGCACGGCCCACTGCCTAAAAAAAAAAACCGCACAATAACTATTTATCTTACTTTTTTGTAAAAATACATTTAAGACTTAGAATAAATCCGTGTAAATTTCAAGTAAAATAATATTCTTTCGACTTATTTAGAAGTTTTTTTATATCTACTTTTGATATGGTTTTCGTAATTGGTTTTTTATTTTATTAAAATAGAATAGAATATAAGAAAAAAAAATTATATAAAACTATTTAAGTTGCTATACCTACTCGAAGTTCCTATAAAAGTCGACAGGTAATACGAATTTATTATTTTCTAACTCACGATTTTTTATTCGAGCGTATGACCCCTTCGTGTGTATTGCATTCCAACATACGACGCGTTTTTAAAATACAACATTACCTACAAGTGTATTTAAATATATTATATTTTAAAACACGTCATCAAATTGCTACCATAAATTCCATAACACCAAAATATATTTCATGCCCTAACAATTCTATACATAAAATTTTGATTTGCATATTTTGAAATTTTTGCAATTTTAGGACATATTTTTGAATTTTTATGGCCACAAAATAAAATGTTCGAATTTCCTTTCTTTATTTTTAATTTCTCTTTTTTCTTTTTTAGATCACACTTTATAAATTGTTAAGAATTGACTGCATACATATTTTATAGATTTTTAGGAGATATATCTGCCCTAATTATAATATAATGCGTGAATATTATGCGAATAATTTAGTAAAATTTCCCTGGTACACCTAATCTCACTAAACACTGGACTGACATTCATAAATTTTACATCAATAAATATTGGCCTTTATTCCCGGAATGCTATATATCACCAACCACTCTGCCAAAAAAAATTAATGCTTGAAATATTATTGGTGCTATAGATTAGACTTAGGTTCGATTGTTTGTTTGTTATCTATAGAAATCCTAGCCCTTTGAGCAAGTGCCACTAAAATGTATGGACATAGTCATATATCACGGCCCTGAAAAGGTTTTCGGAACATTCCGATCTTCTCTTATGACCAAGGGGATTGGTACTTCTATAAACGGGAAATATTGGAGTTTAACATGGGATAATATAATGCAACGTGGTGATAATATAACCACCTTATAATAGAATTTTCAATGAATTATTTATTATAAATATTCAATGGCAAAACCACTAGGAATTTCAAAACTGCACATGTAGAATTCGAAACTATCGTATTCTGTACGTACTGTAAATATATTATCATATTTTATTAGGACAGTATGTATTAGGTAGGTAAATCTTTGAATATAAGTTTGTTTGATTTTTTTTTTTAATTTTGGAGACAATTTAATTTAAATATTATGTAAATAGTTTTGTAGCCTTTAGGTGTATTCAATGAATTCCAAATTAATTTATTTTATTTTATTTAATTATTTAGTGATCATTAAATTATTTTGTACCTATAGAATGAATACACTTAAACGTGGACGATAATGGTACGACATTTCTCTGAAAGTCAATAAATTATTCATATTCTTTCCGAATCGTTTTATACCTAGTCCCCAAAGTTATTATTATACTTATACTCAATCGCGATTATTTATTGAAATGTGTCCAATTAGAAAAATTAAAAACTACAATTTATTTATTATTCATGTGACTTATTTGTAATACTATTCTAAATCTAATTATGTACAATATTAATGCAAATGTTTTATATTTTTAATCTTATTTCTATGGGACACTTGGTGGTTTACTCGTAACCCTAAAACACTAACTCCACAGTGTAGGTATACACTCATATTCATGAGTATTGAAAGTAAATAACTGTTGAGTAAAATCCAAAATAATACATTTTGGTACGTAAATCCGTGAACGTAAAAAATAAACACGTAATAGTAAAATCGACTATAAATGTTCCGCCCAATTAAACTCCTCCAGTCTGTTATAAAAATTCTACGGTGGCACAATAAGAAAATACAAGCATTTTATTCCCTTGTCATCACGAATAAAACAATTTCTATCTTGACTGTTCAATAAAATATTTTCGAAATCGAAAGCTTCGGATAATTCGTCAATTGTATTTTTAAAATGTTTGATAAAATATTTGTCTTGAGTTGAATAGACGTTTTCTTTCCTAATTTCGTGAATATAGCTACTAGGAAAAATATGAAGCTAGTTGACAGGTTTTTGACTAATTTCTTTTAAAATTACTTTAGACGGCCGTCGAGTAAATAAATCTTTAGTGTCTTTCCGTTGACAAGCAGATTCCATGCAATTTTCAGATTCACATTTTTCTTCTGGTACAGCTATTTATGGTTTCCGTGAATATCTGTATGTATAGATAGAGTACTAGTCATAATTGTAATTCGTTTTCGATATATAAGCAGTTAATGGCTTAACATTTTTTTTTTTTTTTTTAACAACAATATCTATAACTTATTTTCTTTTTTTTAGGAAAATACATAGGTATTATATAATAGTATGTATTAAAATATTATACAATGTTAAATTATGTATAACGTAAGTTTGTATGTTATTAAGTTTGATAATCCATGAGTATCAGGTGCCAAGCCAGAAATTTCCAAAGGGGGATGTTATGAAAAGTAACCATACCTACTTATTAATTGAAAAAATACGGATACACTTCGCACAATGGTGGGACACTGTTATAGGAGAGAATTTGGGAAGATAAGATGTAGAGGGAAATGTACATCCGTACGAAACGATTAATCATTGCTAACGAAAAACGATTCTGAATAATATTTACGATTTTCGTCAAAATTTGATATTAAAATTCTTATAAAAAAAAATACTACATTAAACTCAATTTTTTTTTTTGAATAAACATTAAGTACAATTTATAATAAACCTCCCGTCAAATTGTCAAGCGTTAATGTTCAGTTTAACATTTTATCCACAAAATACCTACAGAATATAAATTACTTAAAAACTTGCAAAATTGAAATGTATAAATAGCTCAAAAATAACAAATGATTTGAACATTTGTTCACGTCTAGAAAAGGCTACTTAAAATTGTATACCTGAATTTCAAGTCTCCACCTATATTTTAACAAAATTACAATAAAAAACAAAATATCATCTAATAAACAGGACGAAAATGATTCGTGCAAGTGAAGACCAATGTCGATTTTAATAAAAAATTGATCTCTCCATTTGGTGATTACCTATCCGATTATTTGTCCACTATAAATATGTTTAGTATCACTACTGTAACAGAGTGATGAATAAACTATTATATTGACAGTTAATTATTGAGTTTGCACGGGATGTTTTGCGTTAGGCGTTAATATAAATGTAGGTATGGTAATAAAATATTTGAAATCTTTGAAAGCTATTTTGGCAAGATGTGTAAAAAAATTATATTGTAGTTTGTAATGAAGTGTTGACAGATTACCTATTACAAAAATCTTAAAAACATATTAATAAAGGCAAAACGAATAATAGAATCGCATATGCATATGTTATATACTTTTATCTAATATTATATATAAAAAAAAAAATATAAAATGTGCAGATTTTTAAAATATTAAATCACAAGAATTTTAACAAATTTGTTTGATACTTATACAGTTATTTAATATTTAATTAATTAGTAACACATTTAATAATTATTAATTAGTAATTACGCATATGATTTGACGAGACTTGAAAATACTTATATAATTATTATTATCGTATAATAATGATACATTAACAATTTACTATATTAAACTGTGGATCAATTACGATCAGATTATTTTATTCCTTGGAGTTTCTTGTTTTCTTTAGAAATCAAACATTTTGAGAAATCAGGAAGATTATAATGTTTCTTTTTTGCGTAGTAAGTAGATTGATAAATGATTCTCGAAAAAATTGTTGCGCTTTTATTGCTTTAAATAAACGAATATTTGAAAGTTAAAATTTCCTAGTATAAAAAACAAATAATTAGGTATTTCTCATCACTCGAAATTATTTGAAAAAGAGTTTAAATAAATAAATTTGGAGCTCCGAAATAACTGTAGTACATGACTGTAGTATCAAATTCATTTTCTGATTATTAATTCTTAATTTACAAAGCACTACAATATGTAAATTAAATTATAGTATAGTAAAAGAATTCCCTTGTATGAAGTAAAAACGACAATTTAATGAAATTATTAAAGCAGAACGTGATAAAATTGTACAATATGAACAGAGGAAATTAACTACATTTTGTAACGCCTATAATATTATGAATATTATGATAAATTACAAAATCGCAATGCTTTTCAAAGCCCGTAAATTCGTAAAATAATATTTCCGCAATTATTCTTGATATATTATTTCAAGTAGGTACTACTTTAATTTATAATATACAAATTATTAATTTAATTGAATAAACTAAATTTATAGATTAGAGCCCATTTAATTTTAACTGAAAATATATATTATAGGTATTATCACTCTATTATATTTACTTTTACTAACGAGTGGCGGATTGTTTTGGTTTGGCGGACACCGAACAATTAAATGATAGAATTAAAGACATGTATTAAATATTTTCTTTGTCATATAAATTGTATTGAAAAATAAATAAATAATGTTTCTGAAGATATCGCCTGTCGGCCAATTGTAATTAGAAACATGACCTGATGAATGTACTCATTAGAAGTAGGTATATAATAATTTAGTAAAAAAATTGATCATTTATTGTAATAAATTTATAACAAAATTATCTTGAATCTGTTTCCCCTCCTAATTTTACAATTAAGTATTTTGAACTAAATAAACTTCCTAAACTAATTGCTCTGGAAGACATTTCTTATCAATTTTAAAAAGCATAAAAACGATCCGAAACCTATCAAGTGTAATTCTTGTTTAAATACTTTGATATTAAATATTGATAATCAACTATTAAATGATATTTCGTTCACTGATAAGATCAAAAAATTTTCGAACTGTTGGCTAGAAAATGTCTATAACATAATCCTTCATCTAACCAATGACATTGCCAACCCATGGATATTATCGTAAGGTTCATTTTAGGATTTACATAAATAACAAACAACACTTGTATAATTAAAATTGCATTCAGCGCATAAATCCGTTTTTAGATTTGAACACTAGCTCAAAAAGTGTTTCCAACGAAGTTCTAAAGGCTTTTGTTAACCACGTAGAATGAAAGAGATTTAAAGCAATACTATTAAATCCTGATTAAATGCCTACAAAGGATATGTTGTGGCCGCAGAACATTTTGTAAGCTCCTACACATGTTGAACATTAGTGTAGATATCTACTGTACTTTTAATACATTCAAATTCGAAAATAATAGAAAGACTAATACTTTAGGAAATAAAATAAAAAAATATCGGCCACGACCATTAACACGAGCATATCTCTCTATTATATAAAAAAACGTTTTGATATCTATATGTGCCATATATTATATTACGAGTAAAACCAAGGACAAGTCAACTAACACCTAGTTAATAAATAATACATATAATACAAATAATTATGTATAAATAATAAAATAGACATTTTCATTGATATTTTAGACTCTGAGCCGAGTTAGGAATGTATTAGTTTTAGAATGATGTTTATTTTTTTTTATGTTGTGTACAAAAATTCCACCAGAAATCTTGGTCTGATTTTCAAGTGTGCCACCTTTCTGAAAGGAAATTTTATCTGAGTAGTATTTTAAGAATGTAATTTTTTTGATTTTACAAGGAGTTTCATAATAATTTATAAAAACTGGGAAAACATAGGAAAACAGGAAAATTTACGAAAATAATGCTTTTATAAATTTAAATTGTATTTATTGTTTTGTTGTAATTCAATTTCATGTTCATAGAGACTTGGAATTCTGACAATAACCTTACATTTTCCTTTTATATACGTGGTAAAACACGTGAGCCATTTTTGAGCTTTTATAGACATTTTAATTTTGCGAGTTTTTTTATGTAATATTTATTTGATAAGTACTCTGTGGATAAATTTGACGATCAGGTTTTATTATTTTATCCAAAGCAAAACGATATTTAGAGAGTTTAAAGAACTGATTATTATCTTAAAAATCGTTTAAAAAAGGCGCAAGATAAAACAAAATTATCTAAGCATTTTAATTATGCTCTTGTCGGTCAGATCTTTGGTATACATCGGACATTATTTTTAAAAAAATGATTCAATACCATATTAAAAATTAGAAACCACAAAAAAAATTATAAGTTTTAAATAATAAATTCGAACATAAAACATGCAGATTACAAGTATTCAAAATGAATCATATCGCAAAGTAAATAATATCAAAACAAGATCACGTTCAAAATAGTATCAAAATTGTATGTTTAAACAAATAGTTGACCCTAATTAGTAATTACTAATTATTAAATGTGTAACTAATTAATTAAATATTAAATAATTGTATAAGTATCAAAAAATTTGTTAAAGCTCTTATGATTTATTATTTTAAAAATCTGCACATTTTACATTTTTTTTTTTTTTATATAATATTAGATACAAGTATAGGTACTTGTACTTCAATGCTTTAGGTGACAGTTTTAATTTTATTTCCAGTTCAATGACTTTTATCGCAGTAAGTCTAATAAATTCTTAATACCATTCCCATTGTTTTTATTTTTTTTTTTTGCTCTTTTTAATAAATATAGTCGTTCATTTATTTATAGTTCTGTCGTTAAAGCTGTATTTCTTTATCATTGAATTAATCTAAAGTTGAAACAAATATCAATTAGTTTTTTTTAGAACTTAAACTTCACAATCATAATATATAAATTCCCTCCTCTTACTCGAAAAAAAAAATCACTTAATAATTACTAAACACTAAATAATAGCTATCGTGTTTTACCGTGTTATATTAGTAAGTACCGTTTTAGTTGAATTGTCGTTGTAAGAGAGAAGGAGGGGGAATAATAAAAAAAAATGAAACGAAAAACAAAACAAAATATGAACCAAAACGGCCTATTGTTTAGCTATAGGGGTTGTATATAAATATATATAAAGGTGACGTTCGTGTTTATAGTTGTGGGACATTGCGTTACCTGTAGGGACGGGTTGTGTGGGAAGGGTCTAAGGGAAAGAGTGAGATTGGAAAAAAAAACAAGAGCCTCGAGTAGATGTGAAGTCATTAAAAACAACGGCTATTATGAATTTCGCCGGTCGCGTGCCAGTAAGTATATGTATGTAGTGTAGCGTACACCCTATTGCTTGTATATAATATACATACGTAAGTACAGCAAACGGTTTTAGGCTAGAAACGAGAATTCGAGGGAGACTTCCCTTCCAAACAATAAACGAAAAAATAGGTACAATAATAATAGCCAATATGAGAAAATCCCTTCCATTGTACGACGTGGGGTAATATTATTTTAGCGAATCTGAGTAATTTATTGAAGGCATTTCTCCCTGTGTATTAAGTCAAACCGACACCTAAACCTTACATCTACATCTAAATACTTACCAACTAAACCCGGTGATCTCATGCAATCAATGTTAAATCGTCAGCGTGCGTCAATCAAAATATCAAAAAATCTGAAGAATACTCGAAGAATTTATGGTCTGTTTTTTTTTTAATGGATTAGTCATAAAATATCTGCAGGAAAGTAATTACTAAAATTGAAAGCTAATGGACCAAACATTAGTTATGAGTCATAAGTTTTTTTTGTCCTTTGAAAACTTTAATTATACGAATTAGGTAGGTAGGTACCTAAATAATATATTTTATGCTAATATCGTGGCCTTTATTATTATTACAATAACTTGTGTCCATTTTTTTAATTTTTAATTTTTTTTATTAAAATTTAAAATGTTTAAACAAATAATTTACATATTATACGCATTATACATATTATAAAATATATTATATTTTAAAAAGATGAGAATAATATGTTTTGTCAAAGATCTATCTTGACTAGAATCAGTTATCTTTTTTGAATATATCTACCTACTTTTTCGATCTTATATCAAAAATAATTCATTTTAACAAATAAATATATACATTATACATTTACAATGTATATTTATATGTGTATAATTTTATTTTGTTAGTTTGATAGTTGTTCTTTTTATTTTTCGTGTAGTCTCCTTAACAATCGTACGAAGTATGTCCATTGTCCGTCTGTTTTTTTAGAATAAATTATACTGTTTATTAACACTTAGAAGATTCATTTGACAATCGTATTAACCATTTTTATAAATAATATACACTCAATAAATATAATTGATTGAACTTGAGCGTAACATAATTTATTATCCATCAAATAATGATGGGTTAAATTTAATAACACATACACGAACGTACCTAATCATTTTGACTGATTATTAGCGATAAACGTGTTGTCACAAATAAAACGATTCAATTATTTGGTAACGCGTGGATTTTAATAAAAGGTGAATACAATTTGTTTTGGGTGTTCTTCGAATGATTCAAATGATTCAAAACGTCAGTTAATATATTATTAAACAGATTTAAATTAAGTAAACTTAGTGTGCAAATGGCACGCTAAGTGGTAACTTTTGGTGTATCTTAAAATCATACATCTTCAATAATTACTTGGCTCATTTATATTAGTATTTAATAAAACTAAGGTAAAATATTTTTAAAAATTGAATTTCAATGTATTTTTTATTTTTTTTTTTTTTTTTTTGGTTGAAATACTAGAACGTAAATTCCTAGCGTAACAAGAAATAATTGACAAAAATCGTAAAAATTATGGTTTATCCTTGCGTATAGATATAAATTAAATATTTTGTGTATTATACCTTCCCAACTTCCCATCTACAACAGTAGCTCGACCCATACCCATTATCAGCTCTTTTTTTGATTTTATGTGAACCGAATTATTTTGTCTTTAAAGTTCAAATTTTAATTAAAATCATAAAAACACGTCATTTTGCGTACTGTTTACTAGTTGTTGCTGTTCAAAAATAATGACCCGGTGCCAGAGTGTTTTTCGATTCAAAATTCTAATACCTCGCACAGTGGTTCGATTTGGATAAAAAAAATTAATTTTTGTTGAAAAAAAAGATATTCAAAAGTTCGAATTGAACTCTGTTTTTAAATATTTTCATCTAAAACTTTATAATACTTGTTTCAAAAAGTTTAACTTGTAACCTTTTTTAAACAATTATTTGAAATCAAAATGAAAAATTGTAGTTAAATGTAGTCTGTAGAATATTGTTGTTTATCAATTAAAAAAAAAAAAAGTAAAATGATTTATTCATTTAAATTAAATTATATAAACTGTATATAATATTCAACATTCCTATCACATTTTTACCACAAAAATGCTTCAAATTTTACAGGAGGTTAATTGTAAGTTGCACTTGGTAATAAAAAAAAAGGTTAAATATTTTTTTTTTTATAAGAGTTTTAATATCAAACTTTTACGAAAATCGTAAATATTACGGCCTTTCAGAACATATATATATTCTATAACCAAACTTTGTTCCGAATCGTTTTTTGTTCGCAATGGTTTATCTTCGGTTACAGGTATAAATTAAATAACTTTATGTATTCTAACTTCCCAACTTCCCACCTATAACAGTGGTACACCTGTCCACTGATACTGGATCAGCTATTTTTGATCGTTTTTTTATAAATTATTGATTTTTATTATTTTGTTTAGAATCATGGTAGCTGACCACAAATAAATGGGAAAAGAGGCGAGGAAGAAGAAGAAAATTATTTTGTTTACAGACCATAAGATGGAAAGATTAAAATGTCCATAAATCGTTTAAGGCCTAAAATGAAGATGGCTAAAAGTATACTAATTGTAAAAATTACATCCATTATGGCAATATTCATGTTTCTGATTATCGAATCTAGTAAGTATAATAATAAAAGTTCCTTTATAAATTTAACCTTATAAGGTGGTTACTACTGGTTAGGACGAGGACTAGGACTAGGACTTAGGATTGGGATCAAAGCAATACTAGTACTACTAGTTGGGTATTTTGCATTCAATTATATAATAAGCCGAATAAAAATGAATACCTTGAATAAACAAAAATAATAATCATATGAATAATTAATTCATGTGGTCTATTTGTGATAATACATATGCAAATATAGTAAAATGGGAAATTAACAACAAATTGTATTTTATCAGTTGTAAAGAAGAACAAAATAAAATTCGTATACAGTACCCATACCAAAACTCAAATTTGAACAGTCAACAGTTATAAAGTTTTATTTTTGAAACGTTGTTTACGAATTTTGTATTTAAAAACCTGTTAACCTATGTTTTGAGGAGGCGGCGGCGGTGAGACGATAGCGGTGATGGAATAGTAGAGTGGTGCCGTAACGGAAAATTAGTAAGAAGTGATACGTAGAAATAGTAAGTAGTAGGTGATGGTAGCTCGATGGTGGAGGGAATGGAGATAGCGTAGGGTAGTGATAGCGGTAGGGTGGTACTATAACGAAAAAATCAGTGATGGAAAATAAGTTAGCGACAAATTTGCCATTAGTCATGTTTTAATCAGGGGAAGATTTCTGGTAGGAAAATTTTTAAAAAGACAAAAAAAAAATGCGTGCATTGTTAGATAAAACTAATACATTCCTCTAACATATTTTTAACATTTAGAATCTAATATTAATATTAATATTGAGTATACACTTCTTTTACAAAATCAACTATTTAAAATTATTAGATATTGGTGAAGCAGTTAAAATGATTGGTATCAAGGTACCCGCGTTCATATATATTGGAGATTCGGTACAGCTATTTTGTGATTATGACATGCAGATGGATACACTTTATTCAGTTACCTGGTATAAAGACAACGAAGAGTTCTACAGGTACGTTCCATCATCATCTCCACTAGACAAACACAGCTTCAATATGGACGGGATAACGGTTGATGTAAGTATATGCTTTGCACAAGATAGAAAAAATTGTTTAAACTTTAAATATCCTTAACTTGATCCTTACATATATGAGATAGAACTCATTATAATATATTTAATATAATAATATCAGTTATAATATTAAAATTATAAAGATTATTAAAAATAAACTAACTTCAATGCCTTAAATATCAAAATTACCATATCAAAACCTTGTGAATAATGGTCAAAATTAAAATTAAAAACATAAATGTATTAAATCTTCTATTAAATTTAAATATATTTGACATGAGTTGACATTTTTAGTAGTACTTATAGCAGATTTCGATAAACAGAATATTTGGCAAAATTAATTTTAACTAACTAAATTTGCTAAAATATGCTGAAATAGATTAATTCACCGATTTAACCATTTTAAAATAATGGAGTTATAAAATAAATAACACATCCAACACAAATATTTTCTAAACCATAAATAACAACATACTTTTTTTGTACTAAGAACGTGTTTTACCGTGAATTTTATTTAAATTTCATCAAATCTAGGAATTTAAATGTTTGAAAAAACATCTTATTGGAAACTCTTAAACATTTCCAATTTTATAAGAGAGGTCATATGAAAACTTTTAAATAGAAGTTATGTAATTATTTACCCAAACCATGTTCACAGACAAAAAAAAAGAGAGGGATCAGCATACTTTAAGGGACAACCTTTTTTTTTTTTTTACTTCTATTTATACAAATTAATTTTTTTTCTCGGTTAACGATGTTGAAATTAGTATTTTTGCGGTCCACCACAGTTTTTAAGTTAAAACAAATAACTACCGTGAAATGTAATATTTTTAATACACAAATTTAACTAATTCAAAATAAATAACAGATATAAATATCTTATTTAAAGATAATCAAAAGCTAAATCTTAATTTATTTATCAATTAGTAATTACTATACATATTACATAATTTTTTAGTTAGGCATAGTATGAAATAAATACAATTATTATTAAGATATTAAATAGCAGGGAAATAACAATCGTGGGCTTTCTGTTGCTCTTTGGATTTAATAAAATATATAGAATTCTAGAAAATACGAGTATTTTACTTTAATGCTTTTCGGTTTGCCTTACTATCCCGGTCTAGTTTTTAACAGCAAACCGAAAGCTATTTTTTATTTAAGTTCTGACATGAACACGTGAAACGAACAAATGAAGGTTACTGAGGTAGGCCTAGAGAAAACGCAGTCTACTCCTTCAGCTTTTATTCGATGTTAAATATTGTGTACTATTACATTTTCAACGAAAGGTCCATAGGATATCGGACATAGAAAATGGAAACTACCAATCACGACTTATATGAAACAGTTAAACGCAAAATGCAAGTGCACGTAAAATAATACGTATTATGTTCAAACATTAGGCATGAAAGTAAATATGAACCTAATCGCCACCTCCTTTAGCTCAACAAAACACGTTTAAAACAAAAAATTATATGGCTGAAAAAGAAAAATGGCAATTCAATTAGGTATTCTGGCTATAACTCAATAACTATTGACGATCCCAAAATATATTATTCAAAGCCGTTTTAGGATAAAAATAAGAGCACCTAAGAAAAAAAATGTGTACGGCCCACAAAGTCACGTCTGTTCGACTGCATTTGAGTTTCGTCCCAAGTATAAAAATTTAATGTAAAGGTATACCGATTCCGTCCCGGATTTTTAAATGATATATTATTTCCGTCCCGTTTATATTTTGCATTATTTATAAAATAAATATTTCTTAAGTTTAATCTTTAACCAATCAGTTAAACCTAAAACCTCGGTTTATATAAAATTTACGACTACGATAACAATATCAATAAAAATATAGATATTATTTAGAAATGAAGATAATATTGATTTCATAAACTCTTCAGTCGGTATTTATGAGTGTCGGCCGTGCTGGTAAAATAATAGTCTACAATATAAATAGTGAAAAAGGTAACATTTGAATATTGATCAAAACGATTATACATTTTGTTTTCACAAAGAATTAAAAAAACAATATTTAACGCTGAAAATGCATTCAAAAATTATGTATAAAAATTGGTAAGTGTTTAAATTGTATATAATATACTCGTATTAAAGTTTTAACACGTTAACCACTAAAAGGATTTTCACTGTTACCTATATTATTCCCTTATAACACAAATAATGTTTTTATGAGTATTATTATTATTATACTAGCTTAAATTATTAAAGCGTATTAATATCGTAATATTGTAGTAAACCTTTTTTTAACTGGAACGGAATTTGTATAAAAAAAAGTTATTGGCATGGAACTCAGATGCAGCCGTCTGTTCCGACGTGCGTACAAAACCAATAGGCACCTCGATCCACTATGTGAATTTAAAAAAGTGATAATTATTCAAATTCTCATTGATAACTTGTAGTAATCACGTGAAAATGAATTTTTAGTCATAGCATTTGAATAACATCAGTTATTTTACTATCCATGCTTAAAGTTCAAATAATACGAAAACAATCTAATTAAAATATAGTTTTTGCATAGAGACCAAAATATACAACACTTTTAAAAAATAGGTAATACAAAATTATCTAATGCTTGCATATTTAAATTATATTAGCCAATATTAAATAATGCGCAAGAAACATCAAAAATGGAAATTGACTCTAAAATAAGATAACATAGTTACAACAATAGTGTTAAAGTTTGTAGTTAATAGTATCTATAGTTAGTACACTTTAAAGTTTATAATATCTATTCGATTTATATTTTTCAGGTATGGGGATGTATTACTAAGAACATAATCATGATAAATTTCGAAAAAAAAAAAACTAAAACTTAAAATTAATATAATACTAAAACCTAAAATTTCCTATTTTTTCCGCGTGTATATTATTTTTATAATCCAAAATACTAAACGAAAATATAAACAACAATCTAAAAGGAAACCCATAGTTAAATATCATAACACGGGTTGTACAATATAACAATTAAGATTGTAATAGACATTCCTATAGAATTAGGTACAACTATATTTTAATGTTAAATTAACTCGACTACAGTTGTTGTGAGAATCAAGCAGTTGATATAACCTGAGGTACTTAATATTCTTGTGTATATATAGCCACTATAATATATAATATAATATAGAGTATACTTGTATATTATACGAGTATACAATATCATTAGTATTTACATTGTTTCACATAAGTTTAACGTAATATTAGTAATAATATGAAAAGGTATGATAATATAAGTAATAATAATTCGAGATGCCTGCATCCTACATATGCAGACCAAAATCGTTGTGTTATTAAACAGAATAAATTACATAAACTTTCGTACCTAGCGCAATATTATAATAATTAAAAACTATATTTTATAAAGTATAAAATAATTTTGGTTTACTAAATTAGACCAAATGATTCGAGGGAAAGTTTTAAAGCGATGTAGGGATAAATAAAATGTGTGTAGCCCACGTTGTTAAAGGATATTACCAGAAGAGACCATTTTAATCGAGTTTTATTGTAAATCATATACCTATATAATATGTAAACAAAGTAAACAAATAAATTGTATAAATAAATTTGAATTATAATTTCATAAGAAGCGAGTATTGTACTATATTACAAAAATCCTTTATTTTTCACTCATTAAATAGAAGCCAGGCCCCAATTAGTATATTTGTATGTTATCAATTTAGGAATGTTGTCAACCACTTAAGTATACTTAGGTTATTATAATGAATTTGTAATACATTATTGACTATCTTAATTCCCAGTTAGTAAATAATTTCGAAACCAAATTCGGCCTTTAGTTTATTTAAAAAAAAATAAAATTGTAAATATTGAAAATATTTACAGTTAAGGTTAAGGACTTGTAGCTCTAAAGAGTTACCAAATATAAACTTAAATACTTAAAATATACTTTTCATGCAAAATAAAATAATCCAAAATATGCATGAAAAATATAAAATTAGAAATTTAAAGCAAGATTTTTTTATAAAATATATTTTACTTGGGTACTTGTAAGATACTTCTTCCAATTTTAAAATATAACAAAAGTAATATTTCAGTTTTTTAAAATATCTAAGATTAGACCTCAAATTACGACACATAATTTCTTAATTACGAAAATAATGATGATTTAACCTCAGACATTTTATACATAAAAATAAATAACCTTCAAAATAAAATAAATCGCTAAGTGAACATGTATTCAACCGTTTAAAAACAGAACACTGGAATGTGAATAAATCGACAGATTTATCACGGGTTAAGGGTCACAGGAAAAATCTGCCTCCGCAAACAATTAATAACCTTATTATATGATAAAAATTCAAGATAAATTTAAATCTAACATTAAATGTTGGTTGTATTATTGAATAAGATAAAAACATAATTATGAAAATTATTGATAAAATTATTAATCAAATAAAATATGTCTCAAAAATTATAGAACAAAATAAATATGCACAAAAATAAAAAGACAAAATATGCATTTAAAAAAATAAATTACAAATCTAACTTTGCCATGCTAATAAAACGTATTCGTTTCTTACTCTGTTATTTTTTTAATAGTATAAAACAAATATGCAAATGCTACAAGTCTTCTGCCTTATTTATAAGCTTTTTCTTCTAATATAAAACATAGTATTATACAGGTAGTATAATATTATTTTTTTTTTAAATACACTTAACTGGGCTCAGTTTGTATTTAAATTTCGTTCAATAATATTAACGGTAACCAAACAAAAAAATACAAATTAATATAACTTTAGTTAGTTGTATACCTGTCTACCAATATTAAACACATCTATTGGTTTATCACAGTTATATATCCTATGTGCTTCAAATGACAATTTCAGGACGGACTCATACGAGGGAATTATTTTAATGGACATATTATATGCTGCGTGTGATGTGTGTCTCGTAGTTGTCGATATACTTTGATAAACGCCGAGCACATACGGTCCCTCAGCCAGAGCCCAGAGATATCGATTTGTCTATTATAATTTAGTTGTCAAGGCTTGTCTAATTAGTCACTAAACAGCCATAGGGGCCAACATGATAATATTAAAATGACAGAGGCTGCCGAAGTGATTACTGTACCCTAATACCGTAACGTCTGCTGGTGACATCGTAATGTAATTCAACTCATACCTACCCGTACTGGGTTGTTACAAAATTAATGATAAAACTGTTTTGCAAAACGCCTATTAATTTAAAACAAAAAAAAAAACGTTATTATAAACATATGTGTAATATTATTTTTAATCGAATACCGTGATGAAATGAATATAGCTAGCTCAAATCGCAAACATTTTTATTCGAAATAATGATTAAAATACTTTCAAAACGTTTTGAGTGTACAAGTTACACAGTTGGTACGATTGAAATTTGATTACTATACATAATCATATCACAATATTATCAAACAAAAAGGCACAGAATTCAACAATACACCAACACTTAACCGTTCAAATAATGAAAAAAATTCATTCGGCTAAACTCACTAAACATAAATTTCATAACCAAAAAGAGGAAAAATCTCGAAAACGTATCAAATAAAATTATTTTGATATTAGTTCATATTCGAATTACTGTAAAACGTTCAACTTTTATTTAAGTACAAATTGATAGTGGTTTACAACATATTAATATAAAGCTATTTTGGACTAAATAGCCTTGGCAAATAAAAATATATATAATTTTCAAGAAATAACAATAAAATAATATAACTAAAAAATAACTGATTCTGGGAACGGCTGTCTCCTTGCAGGTGTGAAATTGGGAAGGTAGGATACATAAAGTTATTTAATTTCTATCTGTAAGCAACGATAAACTATTCAGGGCCGGATTAAGGTTTTTGCCACCCATAAGCTGAAAAAAATGTACCATCTAATTTGCATATTGATATTTTACTTCTAAAAGATCCATGAGGCGTTCATATTAAAAAAAATGATCATTAATAAAATAAAAACATAAAATCAATACTTTATTTATATATTTAATAAATGAATATTACTTAAGCATTTTAAAAAAAAAAGAAAAAATACATACAAATACAATTATTCATATTCTTCACTCTTCAAACAATTCTGTAGTAATAACTGATCAAAAAAAACTATCAGTTTGGAGTTTGAAAAGTCTACATTCATATTTTGATCAACACCGTGCAATGCCACAAAGTGAATAAAGTCTGCTGTTCGTATCCATTGAGAAGGATCTTTACTAAAAACACTTGTTTTAATTTTATTTTGTAACTATCTCTATGCTGTCATTCGAATAAGTATTTTTTTTTTTTTCATTTACATTCTGTACTGCTTCAATATCTCCAGAATCTATGACACTAGAAAATATTTTTGGACTTCCTGATGTAATTACTTCCTTACTAAATAGTATATTAATTATCGGGACATTTTTTAAAGCCAATCTTTGTTTTTCTGATTTTTCCTTGGCCAATTTTCTGTATTTGTCTCCACTTAACTCAGAACGTTTCATTTTTATAGTTAGGTTGATCTATAATAGTATTTCATTCGATATTAAAATAGGAAGATTAATAAATAATAATAGAATAATAATGATAGTATTATGATATGTGTCAATAAAAATCATTTTTACATTTTTTCATATTGTGCATTACCTACTATAATAATATAATCGGCCGATACAGGTTTTAATCATAGATAATAAATGGTTTTAATGCTTCCTTTCATCACGATTTACTACTTATATGATAAAATAATATTAATAATCAAATAAATAATAATGTATATATTCAATTTCGGTTGCGGTTTATTTTGAACGCTTAATAGGTGCCGATATTATTTGACGTCGTACTGTGTTCAAATAGCGTGGTTTTATATTTTAAATTTAAAAATAATATCTCAACGTAATTTTTGCGTCACACCATAATAAAATTAGCCGCCCTTTAATATTTGCCACCCTAGACTATAGCCTAAACAGCCTAAGCGGTAATACAGCCTTAAAAACCATAGCTAACGAAAAACAATTCGGAACAAAGTTCACTTATAAATATACGCATGTTTCGAAAGGCCATATTATTTACGATTTTCGTCAAGCTATAATATTAAAATTTGTATTTTTTTTTTTTTTTACTACAATATACGACTTATAATGAATTTCCTGTTGAATTTTCAAGCATTTCTGTTTAATCTTAAAATTTTATCCACAGAGTACCTAAACCTACTAAAAAAAATTCGCTAAGTCAAAATGTCTTTAAATAGCTCAAAAATGGCTCAAATGTATTGAAAATTATACAATATTTAAAAAATCAAATATGAGTTTTCTTTCCAAATTTCAAATCTACTATTATTTTATATTGAATTGCAACAATAAACAAAATTGAAAATAATTAAACCAATATTTTCGTAAATTTTTACGTTTTGCTCATTATTGCTTTTATTAAAAAAAACTACTGGGAAAATCAAAAATCAACTTTTTTTTATGAACATCTGGGTCCAAAATTTAACAAAAGAGTCACTTGGAATTTTTTGATAAAAGAAATATTTCTAGTATAAAACATTGTTTGCAAATATGAAATGCAATAAAATCGGTAACGTCACGAAGTTCCGTAAATATTTGCCGTTTTCCAATAACTTTTATTTCCGGTTGCTTCCAATTATTACGAAACCCCTTTTGGAAATCTGAAAATGACCTCCTCAATGCACCAATTGGACAAAATTTTCTGATGAAAAGGTCCTAGAAAAGGTACTTTATTTGGTACATCGGGGAATGATTTCTGGTTGAAAAGTTGCTCACAGACAAACAAACAAAATACAAAATATAAAAATACACGCATCATAGTAAAATTAATAGATCCCTCACTACGCTCCGAACGTAAAAATATAGTCTAGTGGTAGCTATTTTTCGTTCATATTATTGAATTACGAGTATCCCCATAGAATGTAATTCATTAATTCGTAATTCATTACTCATGAATTCATTCAAAGCTTTTTAATCATGCCCAAGTAATAACATAATTAAAATCTCTCGCGAAATCATATTATGTCTCAAGCTTTTGTAAATTTATAATCTAGGTAAAAATTTCCAACAGAAAACAACTACTTACACTTGTATTGTACGACAAATCACGGGTAGATACTTTGTGATTCCATTCCTTTGAAAATTATATTAATTTACAGTTAGATATACTTACTTAAAGTTTAGCTACAGTTAGTTATAGTTTAAAACATAATATGATATTTTGAAGATTTCTGTAGGGATTTCACTCTTTTTATTAAACTGTGGAGTACCTATACGACATTTTTCGAACAATAATAATGTATAAATAGATAGTCGTATGCTCTAATCTATGTAATAGAACTTGTATGGGTGTCATTATACTAAATGAAAATGTACTATTAAATGGCATACACATTTGGAGTATTATTGGCTGTTATTTTAAAATATTAAATTCACATGGTATATCTTGTAGAAGTCCATTTTCCCAAAACTCACCACAAATTTTTTTAAACTTAAATAATCCACGCGATTATGTATTTTCTATAATATCTAAAATTTATACCGGTGTTTCTCAAACTATCTCAACTCGCAGCACCCCGTTTGAACTAAGGTTTTTTCAGGGCACCCTTGCAAATCAAAAATCTAAGTAGAGCAGTATTAATTATAATAGTATTAGTTTTCCTGTATAGTATATAAAACCTATGTCGGCAATTGTTGTCAGTTATTTTTAATTTTATATCGAAACTATTGGAAATATAGAAATTTTTTTTTAACTTAAGTACCATTCAGAAAAATATCCGTATCTTTTAAGGTGTATTTAATATACTATATTATTTGGAGCATTCTTACTAACCAAACAAGTGTTTTCTGAGAAAAAAAAAATCAAAAAAAAAGACCACGACGCCGCGCCCGTGCAACTTTCATTGTCATTGAGGTTTCGAGTTTATTTTTAGACCAGATACAATTCAACAATGTGGCGCAATGCACACTTTTAGAACCACTAATTTTTACCAGTTTTCTTAACAGCACAAAAAAGTTCCAAGTAATTGGATTCTAGTAAGTGGTTTCGGTACTCGGTAATACAGCATTTCAGTACCACTTTGAGCTTTCTAAAGAGTAGGCAAAAACTCTAAAATTTAACTATTGATAACACTATTCATCTATATGAATAAATTGTTTAATATCGATAGATGCCTTTCATCTATACTATAAAGCTTTACTGAATAATGAATAACACAATGGATAACATTTAGATTCTCAACAATTACTGAAACAAATTTAATTATTAATTTTTTATTCACAGAAGTTGCATTCAGACAACAAAAGAGTAACATTGATTTCCGCTAATTTGCTGATGAACGGTGAATACAAGTGTGAAGTATCTGCCGAAGCACCATTTTTTTCGAGCGTGCACGCTGAATCCAAAATGGCTATCATAAGTAAGCTTACTATAACCTTTATTTTTATAATTATGTTTAAACATAGTATTTATACTGTTAAACGAATAGGTGTGGATTAGTATCAAAACTAAGTTATAACTTTTAAATTTGTTTATCATTCACTTGTGTCTGTTTAATGTAATTTAATTGAAGATTATTGATTAAATGCATTATGTAACGTATGTGTGCCGAGTACACACTAATGAGTACACTTAAAAAATGAAGTACAACAGTATTAGTTTATTACTTAATAATAATAGACTGCCCAATATGAAAATCGGATTTTATTTTTTTTCTTTACTGGCATTATTTTAATAGATTACTAATCATAATATGCATTAAAATCACAATTAACTACACAATCGGAAATAGATTAATGTCCAAAACAAATGGACAAATAATAACAAAAAATAGATATCCAACAAAACAATTTGTTTGTGGACTGATTATAATTCTCTAGGATAAAATATATATTTATCACTTCGATTCAACACGTATTATTCGTGGTATACTTCCATAAATTCAAATCGACTATTTTTACTTCATGTTCTAAATATAGTTTGTGCCTGCATACATTTCTACTTAACGTCTATTGAAACTGTCCACTGTAATGTAGTCTGTTATCTAAATTTACTATTATAATTAAATCAATGCTGACTGAATTAACATATTTTCTACATTATTTGTAAATACGTCACTAGTAGTATTCTCGATTATGTAGTTACTAGTTTTCATATTGTGGAGCACCTGCAGTCGCAAATATATTTGTATTAGAATTTTGAATTTTTAGTATTTTATAATCCCTAAAATCACTAAAATTATGCATTTTTTTTTATTTAAACTAATAAACGCCTATTTATAGTTTTTATTTACATAACTATATTTAAATGTAGGTGTATTATAAATTTGGTTTGTGTTTCTCCAATGGTTTGGTGTGAAACCCCTGAAATCCTACCCTAATTCTTCCTCCTTATGTATACATCTGCCTTTCATACATCACCATCTAAATAAACCTTAGTTTTAAACAAACAATGCGTATAGATTATCAAATTAAAATATTTGCTAAAATAATATATATAAAGGTATCATTAATTTTATAGAATTTTGTTATCTCCCCATTTCGGGTATTCGTGGTTTAATACAATTTCGTATCTGTACCTATCTGCACGATCGTTAGTTTTATACTAAATATTTACAGTTTATTATTATACTATAATACCCAATAAATAGTGTAATTATATTTTAAAGTTTTTTCGACTAATAATTATAATCTTTATTACGTATAATTCACTAAGGGTAATTTATTTTATAAAACCATAAAAAAATGAAGTAATTATTTACTATCATACATATATATATATATATGTATAGAAAGGTAAGCAAAAAGTTTATACTTAAACATTTTGATTGAGATAAGTCATTATTAGTTTTACGTGATCCGTTAAAGAAATATTTTGTGTTTATCTTATCTATATTGTCAAACTTGGAACCTTTAAAAAGTTATTTAAACAAAACACTTTACCTAATAATAGCTAGTTCGTCTGTGTTATTAACATTTTCAAAGAATACAATTTAAACGTATTAATTTATTTGAAATACAATAATTATAAATGTTTTAAATCAGATAAATAGTATTTATTATTATTTTGAAATACATAAAACAAACGTAAACATTGGTTTTTACAATAATAATGATAACAGTTGTTAAGTTTATTATTAATCTATAATTTTAAATATCTAAATTAAAAGTATTAATTTTTAATGTTTTTTATAAAAATAATTTTTAACATTTTATCTAAACAATAATCATTATTTTTCAAAATATACGAGTATACATGTATTACGTACTAGGATGGTCTAAACGCATATTAGATTATTACATATTAATACTTTCGAATTGTTTTTATATATTTTATATGTTTACGTAAAGTTATTTCACATGTATAATAATAAACAAATAAAATATTACTCTGAAATTAATGTAATGTCCACGTCCAATGTAGTTTTAATTTAAACCAAAATTGTAATACAAACTTGCAATTTTATTTAGCTAAATTACTTACATAAATATGATTATAAAAATGCCAAATAAAATCCATGCTATGAGTATGCCGATTTTATACATGGATAAAAAGAAAATTAGGATAATATATAGGGCAATATTTAATTTATATACTGTATGCAACAATAAATCATTATGAACGAATACGATTCTAAGTGGAGTAATACGTACCTAGTAGTAGATATTAGTCGGCTTTTTGACTTCTTGCTAGGGTAACCAGAAATCAACAAAAAACGAAAAAAATACCGTAGGAGTTGAACCATTAAAAAATTCGATAAATATTGCGAATATAGTACTACCGGACATTACACATTATTTTAAGTACTGAAAAATTCGAAGCATTTTACTCACCAAAAAAGTATAATTATTGTTCTTCTCCTTCACCATCAATCCAGCTATTTAGAGTTGGCTATTTTCGTCCTTAACATCCACTTGACCTGATCTTCCACCTCACATACACCAGATGTCCTCATATCATTTTCAATCACATCCAACCACCTCTTTTTCAGTCTTTCTCTCCTTTCTTCTTACATTTATTTGTATTACCATTCTTACTGCTTCTGATTTCTCTCACAGTCTCTCTTCATAATATGCCTAAACCATCTCACGTTTACAAATACAAAAAAAATTAATTTTCAGAGGAAATATTAGGAATTTCGAACATGTTTTCAAATAAAGTGCCATCAATTAAAAAATCCGCGTAAAAAAATCTGAGTAATTTTCTAGAAAAAAAAGCACATGTTTTAGTAAAACTAGATGTTACACACTCCTAATCAAAAAAAAAAAAACATAAAAACAATAAGTAATTAAAATATTTAAAAATATTTCCGTTTACACTATACCAGCAATAATTTAACATCATAAATGTAGTTATATTCATTACAACAAAAATTTCTATTATACAACAAGTTTGTAACGTCTTCGACATTAAAATTTTCCCTAAACTTAGTAAAATTCAAATTGTAAATAAAACATATTTACGTGGTTTAAACAAATTTAAAAAAACTAAAATAATTTTTTCTAAAAAGATCTATCTCAACTATTTATTTGGTTTCTGTTATCTGAATACTTACTTGGGTTGGTACCTACCACAAAAGTTGTATTAAGTTTAAAAGTATTTAATCCGTACAAATAATTTTGTAAAAATATATATAAATTAAATAATTACTAAAAGACTGAGTAGTAAATGATTTATTATTTTTACCATTAATTAGTATAAGAAACATCGACCGAGATTGTAGACAAAATATCACTTAAAAATACAAAGTCGCCTTCACCTTTTAAAGAACTCTTACGAGGTACCTTATTGATGAGAATATTCGTAGAGCGTTTCACCTTAAACAAGGAAGCTACACGAAATCGAATACATCAATGTCTGGAAGGAAACTCATTGGGGTAGAGCCGTTAATATTAATTATGTTTTAGCACTCCTTCACACTATGTACACATTGTGTGTCCTCGAAGTATTTCAGCGACGCCTTCTCACTATATAGAGGGACCTGACAGCGTTATTATTATGATGGCCCCTTGAAAAATGGTCACAGGCTTACACTGCCATATCGCACAATACGTCGATTTTCCTTACCCAATTATTTTAATAGCCCATTCACAACGAATGTACAACGACGCCACGTACAACTATTAAACCGCCCGAAATGACTAAGTAAAACACGGAACTTTGCGCACTTTAACAAAACCTTTATATACTTTGTACCCTATCTATAGCCCATACCCTTTCTAAAATCTAAGGCCACACATGGTACCCCAACTAACCACACTCCACTAGCGCGGTTATTTTAAGCACATTTTGGCCATACATTTTTTATTTAACGGGTTATAAGATATGTCATTTGCATAATAGCTTATTGTGAAACGCTTTGTACCCACACAATAAATTCTGGTACACTGGACAACATAATATAGACAAATTGCATGTATGAAATATATATATATATATATATATATATATTTTAATGTATCAAATTGTTTAATATAAAATATTAAATGAAAATATATTACTATTATACTAATAATATTAGTTAAATCAAATGTATTATCAAACAACTATACAAATTCCTGCGGTAGCCATTCTCTTTTGGAATACTGGACTACAAATGTAATTGGTACTACAATAATTATTTATATTGTCTATTTGAAACTATTCGGCTGCAGTTTCATGCCTATCTACATATTACAAATATACATAGTTACAAAATAATTTTAGCTCAAATAGTGTAATAATGTAATAAAAACAAACAGTAAAGATAAATTATTAGGGAGGTTAGGTACCTAATTCAAGATAATTATACATATATACATATAGATAGATATAGGTATATACCTATCTACAACTTGGCCGTTTTTCACAAAATAACGCTTAATCACTTTCAAAGAGTTAAAAGCTGTACTAATAAATCCACAATTACTGGTTTATCCGAACTAGGGAGGAAGAAAATTTGAACTTAATGGCCGACACAAGTGAATTCCCACAGTATAAGAGCGGTAGGTACTTTTGCAAAGGGACCCCATTAAATAAATACATTGCATATGCAAGTCGAACCTTAAACAAACCGAAACTAACTATAATATATAATTCAAAAAGAAATATTAGTAATCATATGGATTAATAAATATTTCCGATAAAATCTTTACAACCAATGTTTTAATGAGTTAATCAGTAATTATAATTTATAAGTATCGTCTCATCAGAATATGGTTTATGGTTTACACGATAACTCAAAGAATAAAAATAGGACGAAGAAGATTACAGTACATGTTTTCAACTAATGTACCTAGTATCTACACTATTGATCTTTAATCGATTTATTTAAACGTAAAATAAAAACTGTCGGTAGTAGGTACCTATCTATTTTTAAATCTATGTTAAAATGGTTAACAATTCATAATTTTTATGATATAGCGGTGGATTTACTCATTGTTGATGATTTTACGAATTTTCATTAACATTGAAAAATTGTATCGTTTCAGTATTCTCATAAAGCAAAAAATAATTAAACGAATAAATTGTTTAAAATAGGGATATTCAATTATACAATATTAATTTAATAATAGTTTTCAAAATTTAAAAAACAAAGGGACACAATTCGCACGATGGGTGGACCTCTATTGTAGGTGAGAAGTTGGGAAGGTAAAGGAGAAATGTAATGTGTATCTGTACACAACGATTAATCATAGCGAACGAAAACAATTATGAGCAGAGTTCGGTTATACATGTTTTGAAAGGCCGTAATATTTACGATTTAAAAATAATACGTTTCGTAAATTTTCCCGTTTTCATACGAGTTTTTTCCATTTATTATGAAAACGCCTTGGAAAATTAAAGAATTACCTCTTTAAAGTACAACTCCACAAAAATTTCCTTTCAGAAAGTACAGTTGTACTACAGTTGAAAACTGAAGTAAAATTTCTGGTATAAAAGTTGTTCACAGAAAAAATAATAAATTAACTTCATTGTAAAACCAATACATGTCTTGCTCCACTCAGAATCGAACATTTTGTTACTTATTTACATAGATATACAGGGTGTCACATAACAGTGTTATATAGACGTTATATAACTTTATCATTATTTATTTTTTCTTGAATTTTTTTTCAATCGTGATTTGGGTCAATGGGACATATATGTATATATGTATACTTAAAATAAGTGTTAGTTAAATTCAATTAATCCCATTACTTAAATATATGTAAATATTCCCCATAGTGATATTGTGATTTTTTTTTTTTTTAATGTTTGAATTATTTAATAAATAAAAACATTATAATATATAAACAGAAACTATACTGCCAGGTTGCATCAACTATCTATAAAAATATTTTGTTAACCTATGATATCGTATTGATAAATTATTGGACAAATAACATTATTGTGCCTGTTAAGTTGTGACTTAGCTGTTACATAAACCTTTCCATATAAATTTACCATAGTTGGGGTTTTATGGTATACAATTTGAATTTACAATTTACAATCTAATGAAATAAAGATAAGTAAAGTTGTCCGAAAAAACATACTTTTAAAATGAATTAAACTTTCATTAATTAATAATAATGATGTATTTAAATACAGAGGATAATAATTATTGACGATTATTATTTGAATAATATTAATGTATATACTATATAATAATGTTTGTAGTAATAATATTAAATAATATTTCACACTATTAAGTATCAACGAATAACAAAATGTGTATAAGAAAAAATTGCAAATAACTGAAAAATATAATGTGTTATCAATTTAATAAAAATATGAACCTGTTTTTAATATTTATTGAACCAAAATTGGGGCTCCAAATTCATCGAACCGATAAGAGGTTATTTGTGGGATCGATAAAAGATAAAAGTAGTTTCTGCAACTGTCGGTCATTTTATTGAAACGATTACGGTGTTATCGATTCGATATCTAATAGTTCATTTATCCGACATAGATGTATTACAATTCATATGTTGTGTACCTATTTCACAATTCATTATAATATATATATATATATATATATATGTAACGTAAATATCATTTTTCTTAAAAGATATATTAACTACTAAACGGATTAATATTTAGTACATAGCACTTTAATCAAATTATTAAAAATGAAAATAATCTGTTTATAAATAATTATTGTACTTTAGGTATACCAAAAAAAGACCTCCCAGAAATCAACGGAGGTTCAGAAATTTATCAAAGTGACGATACTATCTATTTAAATTGTACATCAGCCAAATCATATCCAGCCGCAAAACTTCGGTGGTATATCAATGATAAAATAGTAAGTTGAATTATTAGTTTTTCCATTCAATTAGATTTAATTAATTAAAATAAATCAAAAGTATATAACAAAACACGCATACAAATATTTGGCTTACAGTGTAAATAATTTAAAATCTTACAATAATAGAGCTAATTATTCAAAACTTAATTAACAAGTTATATTCAAACTAAAAACAATGTAAAAATAAGTTTGTACGACTGGGCACATTTTAATTTTGAATTTGAAAAGCATCAGAAAGTTTAAAAATATTCATTCGAGGTTTTATTATTATTATTGTATCTTCCAGGGTGAGTGTAAATTTTTTATGGCTTACAAATACAGCGTATAAGTATTGTATTTAACAACATGGCGGAAACCATATAAAATTAATAATTTTAAACACGTGTTTTGAAAAGTGTGATAAAATACCAAGTACCTATCATTTTTTCTCAATACTTAAACAATAATACAAACACACAATCGACAATTTATATACCTACACTTAATTCATATACTATTATACAGGGTGGGCCAAAAGTCAGTTCCTACATTATTTCAATTTTTTCGAACTTCAAAACCAAATTGTTTATTTGACGAAGACTGGCGGATTTTTGGCACAAATCTACAACTTTCTTTCTGCCTTTCCGGTAGTACGTTTTTACAATGCTTTATCCATCGTCAACTTGATAATTTTAAAATAGAAAATTTAAAAAAAGAAACAAGTTTTCGTACGTTTTCACAATAAACACGCGTTTGTTCGTTATCGATATGATAATAATTGTAAATTATAAGTAAAAACAATAACAGCAAGCGATAACAAACAATGCTATCTAGTCATATAATAGCATCTTAGATGCTGCTTCCATGAAAATCATGAGTTGTAAAAGGAGGGGTAGCTAAAAGTTAATATGTGTTGCTAGAAGGTCACCGCGCCATGATAAATACTATTACCTGCTGGCTGTAAGGCATTATATTACCCCTCTCTAATATGTAAACGGTTGGTCATGTTTCCCTCTTTATTTTCATGTGCAACTACATGATCGACGGAATGTTTAAGTGGCTGCAAACCGATTTTTCGCAGTCGTATTTTTACAAAATTAAAGTGGGCCCGTGTTTTGAAAAAACGGAAACTGACTTTTGGTCCCCATAAATTTTAATAATTTTGGTAATTTTTAACAATACTCATATTCATAAATAAACATTATGATATTTGTACCGCAGTTAATTTAAAAACAAATGAACTAAAAACATGAAACATGTTCTTAAAAAATTGTGGAATAACGAATAGATAGGTGTATAGTTGGTGTTTTTATTAAAATAGAGTATTATTAAATTATAATTCAATTTATATTATTGGCTCAAGTTAAAGAAAGAAAGAAATGCAAAGATTTTGTGTGTACTAAACATACAGAGTAAGCCCAGCGGTCCAGTATGTTGTCATAATATTACATTTATTGGTTACGATATTATCACACAAAGACGATACTGTAATTTATATAGAACTCGGCATGTTAGAGTTTATTTTATGAATAAAATATGAATGCATTTCGCAGAAAATTAAATTAAAAATCGTTTTAGTAAATATTTTTTATTTCCAAAACAATAACCATTTCACGGACTGATAAATTTCAATGTTCAATAATATAATACAATGTAATTTCCAATAAAATGATGCAAAGTTACACTATTATATTGCCAATAGATTTTTTTCTTCCCCCCCTCTGCTCTGGAAAAAATATGCAAAAACAATATTTTATTTTCAAACAGTATACATAAGAAAACACTATATTTTCTATGTGAATAGATATAGGTGTTCGTCGGTACACGAGTATGTTAACAAAAAACTTTTTTTTTCAAACTTCCGGATGTTTCAATGTGATAAATTTAAAATTAAAATAAATCGAAAATCGTCCTGATACACAAAATAACATTGACAAATGTCCCACGTGACTACGTCATACCACTCGTACCTATAATAATACCTTAAATGGGGTAATTTTAAATTTTATAAAAATAGGAGTAGCATAAGAGCTATACGTTTTTCATATTACAGAACGGTAATTGTATATTTCAGGTGATTTCAAATAACGACCGCACTGAAAAATTACCAAACGGTTTGTACGTCAGCATATCAAAGTTAAATTTGCCAGCATCTCCGGATCGCTTTCACAATGGCATGATGAAAGTTACATGCCGAGCCGTCATCAGTATAGGGCGTCCAAAAGCATTACCACCGCCATGGGAATATAAACGCGATGCAATACTCTTGGGTAAGTGCAAAGTACCATTATCTGATTCTATTTAAATATTGAACGCCTTGTGTATACTTACGAGTATACAGTTTCAACTCGTTAGTGGTGATCTGCAGCTACATATTTTACTAGTTTAACCAATATCAACCGATTTTTAAAACCATTTCGATTGTTTCCGTTTATACATGTTTTTATCTAATTTTGAGTTTTATTGTCATAAATATATATATATACATATTTAATAATGTAAGTACATTCGAATAATCTAACTGTCAGTGGCGTGTAGAAAATCGCTTTGTTGTGACCCAGCAATTTTCTATACTTATCACTACAACAGTAATACCCTTTAAATAACATTTTAAAATATTTTTGGTGGTTTAAACTTTTGTTTAGGTATGGTCTTTTATTTTCACCAATTTATTGTTTTTTCTAAATGTGAATATAGCTGATCATTATAATGGTGCATTGTCTCAATAAACAAATTTTCCCGGAGTAGTTGTAAGTATTCAGTTTCCAATCAATTGCGTGTATACGATTATATAATCGTCTATACGAAATAGATAATGTCACATTGATATGAAATTTAATAATAATAAAATTTAATTTAATTTAAAAAATAACTGATATTGGGAACGAGTGCGGCCACTGTTGTCGGTGTGGGTAGTTGAGAAATTAGGATACACCATTGCTAACGAAAAACGATTCGGAACAAAGTTCGCTTATACATTCTTTGAAAGGCCACAATATTTACGATTTTCGTCAAAATTTAATTTTAATACTCTTATAAAAAAAAAAATACTATACATTATATTCAATTTGTTTTTACCACTAAGTACGACTTATAATGAAACTCCTGTCAATTTTTTTAAACATTTATGTTTAGCCCAATAATTATATCCACAGATTACATATCAAATAAAAATTACGTAAAAAACTAGAAAAATTAAAATTTCTATAAATATAGCTTAGAAATGGCTGTTTTGAAAATTTGATCGTGTTTAGAAATGTCAAATATAAGTTTTTTATCAAAATTTAAATTTTCTCTATGAATATTTTTAACTGAATAACAAAAAAACAAAAAAACAAATTTGAAAATAATAGAAGATTTTTTTTCATAAATTATCCAATTTATTCTAAGTATTTTGTGCTTTGCTCAATTATTACAAAAACTACTAAAAAATAAAAAAACAAATTAATTACTCACGAACTAGTTGAAAAAAAGGCCTCTTGTCATTTTTTTATCGGAGCAATATTTATAGTAGAAAACATGAGCCGTAAAAATGTTAAATAATTAAATGTTGTAGTATATATAAATCGTATTTTTTCGATTTTTCCAATTATTATTAAAAAAACTACTTTAGATATAAAAAAAATATTTCTGGTAAAAAACACCGTGAATAAAAATGTAAAACTATAACAGTAACGCCACGACGGTTGGCCGTAAATGTTTGTTGTTTTACCTATAATTTTCTTTTAGGTTTTGGAAAAAGTTTCTATTATTATGAAAACCTCTTGGAAAATCAAAAAATGACCGCCCTAACGCGCCACTCAATAACATTTTCTTCCAGAAAAGGTGTTACACTTGATGCATTGGAGCAAGATTTCTGGTAAAAAAGTTTCTCATAGGAAAAAAAACAAGCACACAATTTTAGTAAAACCAGTGGGTCTCTCATTACGCTCCAAATTTAAAAGTTTAAAGCAATGCCTTAATTTTTAAAAACACGATAAATCAATTTATATCCTCAGGATATTTCATTAATTTCAAAAAGGACAAATATAAATTTAATAATCACCAAGTATTAATAAAGGACAGCATCGACAAAGATTGATGGAAGAATGTAGTTGAGGTAATGAAAGTCCTTCGAGGACCGTAAAAGCTGCGGAAGAAGTACGTTTTGTGAATTATTTTATTTTTATTATCGTATAAACCTACGCCTACTCGATAATGCATTTTATTGCATCTTATAATACAATTCAAAACATTGTCTAACAAAATCTGAAAAACTAGTTTTCGTTAAAATCATAATAGTTTATAATAAATATAATATATAATATATATTATAATTATATATTATATATATAATTATAATAGTATAATAGTATTATACGAGTAATATAAACTATATTATAATACTTTTGCGTACAGAACAAAATGTTCAAGCCTTCAAAATTTAAAAAATATGGGTTGAAATCTTTCTAAATAAACAGTAAATCTTACATAGATGAAATTTTCGCAATATTTTTGGTTTTATGTAGTTACAACTTCTTCAAATAAAAAGGACGGACAAACTTCGAATGTGGGTACAGCCAATGTTGTAGGTGAAAGGTGGGATAAAGAAGGGAATTTAATGAATATCTGTAAGCAACGAAAAACCATTGCCAACGAAGAAAGCGGAGTTCAGTTGATAGTGTTGCTTTGTCAACAATATATATGTCATATTATGGTAAAATAATTACAACAATGTGCGTTTCCATGACAACAATATTTGTTTAAAATGATTTTAAAATAATGCAAACTTAATAACAACAGAAAATAAATAAAAACAGTTACCAATGACAACCTTATTTTTAATCTTTAAATCTTTTTTAACGTATAGAACCAGATTTCCTTCATTATTTCGAATATTAAAGAGAATTTCAAAAAATTACCGTTTTAATCCAGAGAACATTTTCTTTCAGAAAAATTGCTATACTTGATAACCAAATTTAGCTTTATCGTAGAAAAAGTGTTTACATAAAAAAAAAAAAAAATCATAATAAACCAATACATTCTTCGCTAAACTGAGAATCTAAAATTAAACTAAAAGACACAAACACTTTTGTTAGAATAATAGAAAAACATAACCAAGATTGTTTTTTATCTATGTTGTGGTTTGATGACTAAGATTTTATAACACAAGCACACAACCATATTTTAAAGCAAGAAAACTGTTTGTTAATATAAAAATTTAAAAAAAACTTTTTTTTAAAACAATAAATAAAAGAACAATATAAGCAATGAGCACAACAATAATAATAGTTAAAAAGGAATTCAAAGGTGGATTTTCACGATATGAAAATATAAGTTATTTTAACCGGTTTTTCTTTGTATTATGTCTTGTACAATAATTTAATTTCAATAACATTTTCCTCTCATATTTCTATATTAAAAATATATGCTATAATAATAATTACAAAATAGACATTGTCTAAACAAATATTTTAGTTGTTTTTTTGGGAGTGAAGGAGTATTTAAATTTATTTAAAATCGGTTGAATAGGTATATGAATAATTCATCGTTTTAAGATAATAAATAATTATGCCGTAGCACAATTTAAAACAATAATTTAATGAACCGTAACAATAATGATACATACATAATATAGTGTCTCGCTGCAATGGTTTTCCCCGTTAAAACTTTGTGACTTTTTTTTTTAAGCATCTGATTTGTACAAATTATTACTTTATTAAGAGATAAATTTAAATTCTAAATTTTACATAAATATAACGTTTTTTTTTTTTTCTGCCTTTAATTATTTACCTATTAAAATAGTACCAACTTTCCAATGGCATCCTATAATAAATTTAATTAGAATTCTAGAAAAAAGAAAACGCTTTAGCACACATAAATTAAATATTGATAATATTTTATTTATAATAATTATTTCTTGACGTTCGGATAAGAGAATGTGTGTACATTTGCCCCCCCCCCCAACTTTATCAAATCTTCTCTAAACTTCCACCATTATATTGAAAACAATTTGAAAAAATTTGAAAACCTGTCTTCAAAATTTAAATACTCTTAGTTTCACCACAAGAAGCTTTTTAACTAAAGGGGGCAAAAATGCATGCAGCCCCCTATGTTGTCCGATCAACTTTAAACCTTCGCTGATAATTTGAAAACTTTTATTTTAGCTATAAAAATGGTTAAGTCTAAGTGTCAAATTCACGCATCAATCTATATTATTGTATGTATTTTTCTTTCCCTTTTTTTCTCTCTCATTTTTTTTTTTTTTTTTTTTTGTTCCTGATGTTATCATTGTTTACTGTGTTCAAAGGGCTATTGTCCCGTAAAATGTTAATAATAAAAAAAAATTAAATTAAAAATTGTTTTACTTCTGGAGGCCAAATTCACACATCACTCCAGCGTCTATGATATTGTCCTCTCATATAATAGGGGGTTCGGAAAAAAAGTAAGTGAAAAAAAAGCAATGGAAAAAAAAACCTATGAAAACTATTTTAAGCTGATTTTTATATTTTTTGTACTTAAAATACAATAGTAGTCATTTTTTATACTTTCGATTATGGACTGCAGATTTCGACATCTTGATTCGATTATTATTTTTATGAAAACGTTTAATATATTATAATTGAATATATAATATGGCCAATGGTATTGAAATATAGAGTAGGTACCTATTATATGGCATTATAAAATATTATGTAAAACTAATCAATAATATTACTTTTTATATTATAATATTTAAAATAAATATATTGCCGTTTACCACTTGCTTTTTTTCCATATACTTTTTTTTCCGAACTCCCCCCCTATTATATGGGGGAAAATTTTATAGACATTGTAGTGATGCATTAATTTGGTCTCTAGAAGTGAAACATTTTTTTTTTATTATTTTTTTTTTGTTATTAACATTTTACGGGACATGACTCTTTAAATACCGTAAACAATGATAACATCAAAAACAATAAAAAAAAAAGATGCCATAGGATAATGGAATCGGGTGCGACAACTGTTATAGGTAATTTAGTGTATCTGTAAGCAACAATAAACCATTGCTAACGAAAAAACGATTCTGAGCGCAGTTCAGTTGATAATGATGCTTTGTCAACAATATATGTATATCATATTATGGAAAATAATTAAATTATTAAATATTATACATTTTCTTTAATAATATTTGTTTAATATTGTGCCGATTTTCCCGTTTTTGCTGGGAAAACTTTTGAGATAATCGAAAATGACCTCTCTAAAATACCTCTAGTGCTATCATTGTCAATTGAAGTAAAATAACTGGTAAAAATGTTGTCTACAGTAAAAAAAATCGTAATATTTTACTAATGTATTTTGTACATTTTTTCGTTTTTCACAATTTTTTCTTTTTATTGGGAAAACTCCTGGAAAAATCAAAAAATGATCTCCTCAAGTTACTATGGAGATTAAATTACCTTTTAGAAAATAAGCTACTTTTGATACATCGAAGCAAGATTTTTGGTAGAAAAGTTTACACAAAAAATTCGAGAGGTATTTGCTATTAAAATAGTCCGAACGAGCGATGGCTTGGGTTTCTAGGTACACCGAAAATGCATTTCTTTTTTCCTTGTTTAGGTAAAAAAGAAAAAAAAATGCAAACAAATTTTTTTCGAAACATGGGTTTGAATTCGCGAACTCTAAAATGAATATATGTATGTGTAACCATTCAGCTACGACAAAAATACTTTAGAGAAGACAATATTTAGTTATTTAACATAGGATCAAATATCCGCATACTATCAGAACTTCAAAAAGCTATAATTTCGAAACTTAATCAATCCGCTTAATACTGACCATCGTTCTTCAATCGGCAATATACATACATTCAAAAAATCTGATTTGTTTCACATAATTTTTTACTCTACGATTTTCGTCAAAACTTGATATTAAAATTCCTTTATTTATAAAAAAAAAAATTACTACATTAAACACAAATTTTCTCATTTCGACCAATAAGTAAGACTCTTAATGAACCTCCTGTTAAATTTTCAAGCATTTCTATTAAGTCTAATCGTTTTATCACAGAGTACCTATCAAATAAAAATTACATAAAATTAAAATGTCTATAAATAACTCAAAAATGACTTAAATTTGTTTAAAATTTTACCACTTTTAGAAAATGGAAATATAAGTTGACTGTCAGAATTTCAAATCTCTTCAAATATTTTTATTTGAATTACAACAAATAACAAAATTGAAAAATTAAGCATTATTTTCGTGAATTTCCCGTTTTTCTTATGTTTTATCCTGGTTTTTCCCAGATATTAAGAAAACCGCTTGGAAAATCAAAAAATGACCTCCCAAAAGTACCATCTAGACAACATTCCTTTCAGAAATAGTGCCACGCGTCTATATCTGAGCAAGATTTGAGAAGGTTTAAAAAAAAATAATAATAATAATAATAAACATCTTAGTTAATCCAATACATTCTTTGCTACACTCAGAATCTAAAAATGAGAGAGAAAAAAATGGGAAAGAAAAATACATAGCGATATTATAGATTGATGCGTGAATTTAGCACCCAGACCTAACCATTTGTATAGCTAAAATAAAAGTTTTCAAATTTTTTCAAATTATTAGTGATGGTTTGAAGTTAATTGGACAACATATGGGGCTGTATGAATTTGGCCCCTTTCTCAAAAATGCTTTTTGCGGTGAAACTAAGAGTTTTCAAATTTTTTCAAAATAATGATGGAGGTTTGGAGAAAATTGGACAAAGGGGAAGGCCAACTTCACACACGTGATAAACAATGTAGAGTATCCAGGCCATCTAGGTAATATACAAAAATATAAGGCATACAAAAGTCGACTTAATAATTATTTTAAGCAACCTAAACGACCCATAACTATCTCCTAGTTTTGTGCTCAGCCACTTAATGTGATTACATTGTGGGTCAATAAATAATCAGTAATGAAACATTAATTGGGATTTTTTTTAAACTAAAGTAAAATAAAAACTATTAAATAGGTTAGCATTTCAATTAATTATACAATTACCAATCCGAATGAGTTAAAAATACTTCCATGATCTGTTATCAAACTAAACATAGATGTTTGGAGGTATTCGATGACTATACTATTTAAAATATAAATAATACATGTAATTATAATTGTCAACACATTTTAAACTATTAAACTATTAAATATTAACAAAGAAATTTGTACACAATTAAAAATAAATTAAAGTATATTTTTAGATTTTGAGCGTAGCGAGGGTTCTATTGGTTTTACTATGATGTGTGACTACCAGAAATCTTATACAAAGTGAAGCACCTTTTCTGAAAGGAAATTGTATTTAGTTGATGCTTTAATAAAGTAATTGTTTTAATTTTCCAAGGGGTTTTCATAATAATTAAGAATCGGAAAAAAAATTATTGGAAAAACAGCAAATATTTACGGCACGCCACAAAGTAAATGATTTCATTGTTTTTAATTTGTACACGCTATGCTTTCTATACCATAAATATTCCTTCAATAAAAAAACGACAAAATACCTTTATTTTTACATTTTAAATCTAATTTGATTTTTCCTTTACTTTTTGTAATAATTAAGCAAAACTGATAAAAAAAAAATAAAAAATAAGGAAATTTACGAAAATAAATAAGGATTTTATCATTTACAAATTTTTTTTTTTTTATTAATTCAGTTAAAAATATTCACAGAGACTTTAAATTTGTATAGAAAACTTATATTAAATTTTTCTAAACGTGATCCAATTTTCAAAACATTTGAACAATTTCTGAGCTATATTTATAGAAATTTAATTTTGCTAGTTTTTTACGTAATTTTTATTTGGTAGTTACCTACTCTGTAGATAAAATCGTTATACTAAACAGAAACGGTTACAAATTCAACAGAAGGTTCATTATACGTATTTCTTTTTTAATAAGAATTTTAATATCAAATTTTGACAAAAATCGTAAATATTACGACCTTTCAAAACATTTATAATTGAACTTCGCTTCGAATTGTTTTTCGTTAGCAATGGTTTATCACTGTTTACAGTTCCTTATTAAATAAGTTTATGTATCCTACCATCCCAACTTCCCACCTACAACAGTGGCACCCGTCTCCATCAACTCTTATTATATTAGTAGCAGCTCTTTTTTTTTTCTTTATGAATAAGATATACTCGTGTGCTTAATAAATTAATAAAAATATCTAGACGATTGTCTGATTACATTTGTTATACCAGTCTAACTTAAATTTATATAAGTATTATTCTCTGCATGCTAGATTAAATTGACGTTTATTGATTATAAAATAAAATAAAATACTCTTAACAGTTGTATTTAACAACTCAGACAATATAATTCAGTTATTATTAAACTAATATCAATAATATTCTGAAAATACTATTTTAGCACGATAGTTATTTTGTAGTCTATTTCATATGATTACTATTAAGTAGGTATAATAATACTATAATTAATTAATATTATTGATTTTATTTTAAACACATAAATCACGGACAAAAATCAGAATCTCGGCGTGATTATAAAGAGGTTTTTTTTCCGTACTTTATTTATGAGACCAATCAACGTAAATTCATTTTATTTTCATTTTTATATTTTGATAAATCCTTTAAAAAATATGTTTCTTGTTATGCCCAGGATCTATAACTAAAAGAAAAATGAACACATCAAGTTTACATTGTTGATTTTGTAACAATGAGAACAAAAATTAAAAATGAAATTAAAAAAAAAAGTACAATAGAAACCTTTATTTCATCATTGTAAACAAATTTGGCATCTAAAAATACATTTTTTTGTTGTATTCGAAATACTATACTGAGTGAATTTTTATGGAAGATGAAGAAATTCATCATCCACGCAAAAAAGTCAAACTTAAATAAAACGGTTGTGTCCTAAATTTCAGTTGCTATTTTCTCCGGTTTTATAACTACTTCATAACAAAACCATTTTAAATCACAATCTATTTTCAATCTCAACCCTACCAATAAATCAAAAAGACTAAAAATAAATTGTTTAAGATCTAAATTTATCTAGCTAATAAAAAAATAAAAAATATGGAGTTAGGTTTATAATAATTTTCATCTTCTCTATTTTACTAATTTCACCAATTAAAGTTTGCAAACTTTGTAACAACAAACGGTTTTCTTTATGATATACTTACAATAATAGATTTATTACTACATTTTGTCTATACATGTAATCAAGGTAATCAAAAATGACAATGCCTAATATAAAACTAAATAATTCAATTTACTGTCTGAAATGATGATTTTTGATTGAATGTTACAAACGACACAATTTGAAAGATAGTAATCAGTTATGACAAGAAGAAGCCCAGAAGAAATAGTTTTTATATATATATTAGAAAGAGAATCGAATTTGGTATTTCATATTACCTCTTAGATTTATTTGATAACTTAAAATATACATAGAAAGTGTCTTTCTGAATATTATTTTTATCGCAGAAAACTCAGATCAATCAAATAACAAAATTATATAAAAAAAGCAATATAAAAATACGGACATACTTCGCACGTAGGTAGGCCACTGTTGTGGATAAGAAATTGGGAAGGTAGAGGGGAAAATTAATGTACATCTGTACGCAAAGATTAATCTTTGCAAACAAAAAACGATTCGATTACACATATTTTGAAAAGCCTTTACGATTTTCGTCAAAATTTGATTTTAACTCTTAGAAAAAACAAGTAATACAATACACTCAATTTGTTTTTACCACCAAGTATAACTTATAATGAACCTCCTACGTCAAGCTTTCAATCATTTATATAAGTCTACCATTTTTTTTTTTTTTTTTGTTTTATTGTTTTTAATTATTTATTATATTCATTTTTCATTATCCAAAGTAGTTTTCATAATAATTGGGAAAAATCGAAAACGATGAAAATAAGATTTTTTCAAATTTCAACATAACGATTTCGTTATTTTAAATTGTTAGGGTTTATGTTTTCTACCATAAATATTGCTCAAATAGAAAAACGACAAGAGACGATTTTTGTTGAATTTTTAATCTACTTCGTTAGTAAGTTATTAGTTCATTTATTTTCTTTGTAGTTTTTGTAATGATTGAAAAAACCCGAAAAATGACGAAAATAACGCTTTTATTGTTTTTAATTTTGTGTTTTTATTGTAAACTCGGTTGAAAATGATTTTAGAGACTTGTAATTAATACAAAATACTTATATTAGTCTTTGTTAGACGTGGTCAATTTTTTAAAACATGGTGACGATTTTTATGCTATTTATAGTACATAACATTTTTGCCATTTTATATGCATTATTTGTGTATTATATTTAGGGTTCGAAACTTATTCTACTTAAAACTTAAAAAAAAAACACTGAAAAACATCAAATTAGCCTTGAAAAATAGCACTTCAATCAAATTTGATTAGACCAAATGTTAGAAGGGTTCAAATATTCTCCCTTTAACTACTTTAACTTATTAAATACAATTCTCTAACGCTAGACAAAATATTAACCCAAAGTTTTTTTTTTTTTTATAATCTGTATTTAAGCAAAATAATTTTCTGATAATAATTTTTATCGTGTTAGAAAATTATATTTAACAATTTAGAATAGTTAGACAGGAGATATTTAAACCCTTTTACCATTTGTTATAATAATATTTGCCGGAATTTCTTTTTTTCGATGCTTTCTTGACGTTTTTAAGTGCTTTCTTATGAATTTTAAGTGCAATAAGTCTCGAACACTAATTATGTACCTCAGTACCTGTAATTAAAACTACATAGAAATACTTGAAAATAGCACACAACATTCGTTGTAAGTTTAACTTAGTGGTGATAAAAGTAAATTGGAGCGTTATGTTTTATTTTTACTTTTATAAGCGTTTAAAGATCAAAGTTTGACGAAAATTGTAGAAATTACAGCATTTGTTTTCTTTTTATATGATATTAATATGAAAACTATTTGGCTGAACAAAATTGCTTGCAACTTGAATACAAAGTTCATTATAAGTTTTATTTAATGGTCTGAAAAACAAATTTGAGCTTAATGCTTTTGTTTTTATTTTTTTTTTCATAGGCGTTTTAAAATCAAATATTGACGAAAATTATAAAAATTACGATATTTCAAAAGATACCTTATCAAACTTCGCTCCGAATTGTTCATTAGTAATGTTTTATTATGTGATACAAATATAAATAAAATAACTTTATATATCCTATTGGTAAGGCTTTCAATGAATATCTTGTTAAATGTTTAAGCATTTTTAATTTGATCAACATAGTAGGTACACAAACTAAAAAAAGACTACGTAAAAAACTAGAAAATGTCAAATGCTTATGAAATATTTTCATCATGACTAGAAAAAGCAAATACAATAAGTTTTTCGTCAAAACTTCAAGTCTCTGCGATTTTTCCAACTGAATTAAAATTAAAAAAAACGAAGTATAAAATAATGAATTCATTATTTTCATAAACTTTCCCATACTCTAAACGTTTTTTTTTCCGAATTTTCTTAATTATTGTAAAAACCCCTTGAAAAATCAAAAATTAACCCTTTTTTTATGCACCAGCCAGATCCAAAATGTAACAAAAAGGTCTCTTGTCATTTTTCGATTGGAGCAAATTTTGTGTTCGAAAAGTTGTTTACAGACAGAAAAAATACATCATAGTAAAACTAATGAATCCTTTTCTCCGCTCCGAATTTAAAAAGACACTAATATTAGTTATTAACACATTAAATTATAATTAATTTGAAAAGTTATATAATTTCGGTTTAAAAATAAACAAACCATTTATTTGAATAGGTAATGATTAAATTTTACACTCAAGTTTAAAACAAGCTGTGTGAAGTATAAAGTTATTATTGATATAATCACTTTCAAAGACAGGTAATTAATTTCAGATGTCGAATATTACATTAAATAGATAATAAGATAAATTACAATACCTTCAAACTAAAAAAAAAAATAAATATATTTATTTAAAACCATATTAATTAAAGTAGACAATATTATTGGTGTACATTACATATTAAATTAAATGTCGACAAACCTTAATGAATTTAATGTCAAAAATTTCGCCAAAAAGTAAGTTATAAAATAATGTGGACTTATCTAATCTTCATTATTATTTACGAAAACATTTTTTCACTGGTTTTCTCAATGATAAAATGTATTAATTAAGTAAAAATCAACATTGTATTCAATAAATTAAAATTTAAAAAAAAAACCTAACTAAAATTTACAACCCATGAAATTTGCGTAAAAGATAAACAAATATTTTTTTGAAAAACGAAAGCCTCAGGAAAAAATATAACTAAACAAGTAAATATTCAAAAATTTAAGTATGTTAAAAAAAAAACACGGAAAAACCCATTAATTACTATATGTATTAATTACCACACATAACGTAGTTATTAACATTCATTAAAAATGGTATAGATTGCTAACTGACTGGTTTTTCGTCGGTATACTGTAAAACTCCCTACAATAGAAGACGATATGATCATTATTACAAAACTGAGTTCAATTTGAGTTCGAAAAGCTACTCACAGACATAATAAATGAAATAATAATAATAATAATAATAATAAACCAATAGATCACTTTCTCATCTTTGAATCTAAAAACAAAATCGAAAATAATAAAACCATTATTTTGTATATTTTACCATTTTCCTTAACTGTTAAGAAAACTTAATTTATTCACTTAGTTCACCAACTAAATATAATAATTTTCTTTCAGCAAAGATGTCACACTTAAAAATCAGAACAATAATTCTGGCGGAAAAGTTGTTAATAAACAAACAATACAAAAACACTTCATACTAAAGCAAACATATGCATCATTGCACTCAGAATTGTTTTTTGCTATTTTTTCCTCTATATTTGTTCAACTCTTTTCAACTACCACCTGTGTTCAAACTTCGTTTAACAATTACTTACCTAAACAAAACTGCCGGATGAAGTTTTTTGAACGTTTTAAGCATATTTGTGCATAAATAGAAAATAATTCCTGAGAAAAAAAAATCACACGTCAATTTATAATAACTATAATAGCCTAATGGTACTCCTCAGAATTTAAAATATGTTTTAATCAGTTAAAAATTGTAAACAAACTCGTATGGTGCCTAAATTCTTAACAAATAAATTTTAGATTTTGAACCGAGCAAGGAATGTAGGTGGGTATGTTAGTTTTACATGGTGTATTTTTTTTCCTATACCTTACACTTTTCGAAACAGTAAAAAAACCTCATAAAATTCATCCAACAGTTTTATTGATAAATAATAATTTATTAACACGATTGTTGCTATATCAATGCTATAAAAATAGTAAAACACTGAAGAAAAAGAAAATAAATACAACCAAATGTTCAAATTTTAATTCTGAGCTGGATTGTTTTTCGTATTCAATTTATTGTGATTTTTGTTTTTTAAATAGTAATGAAGTATTGAATTGTTTTCTTGTAAGTTCAAAAAAAAAAAAAACCATTTTTAATTATAATTATTATTTAGTTAATCACTTAATGTTTTATCTATTTGATTTCAGTACGCGGATCAGCAGTAGCCATGTGTATAACGTTCAATATAAAAGTAACTTTAATAGTATTAACGTTCACCGTATTTTTAATTAATACATCGTGAAAATTGTACAAAATATTGTTATCCAATTATATTGGCTGCTTTGCTTAAACTATGTAAAATTATATTGTTATCTTGTTATCTTATTAAATTTTGTTTTTAATAAACATTTTATCTGCGTTTCAACTATGTACCTAACTATACATTTTTCAGTTTTTTACATGTACATAAACCTAATTTCTTTTTATGTTTATACTAGCTTAGATAACTGTATTGTTTTGTACAATATTGTAACACTTTAATTATTAATATAATTATAAAAAGTATATACTATATATCTGATTAGTAAATAAATACTAAATATTTAGTACCTATCTACCATATCATTATATTAATTTTATTTAAAATAACATATTCATCAGTAAATATCTAATTTAGTTAATTTAATTGAAATTTGTTTATTGTTTCAAACAATTAAAGCAAATTGATACATTATTAACTTTTTCATTTCGATGTGCGATTTCCAATAATTTATCATTTTCTTAATGTATTATAATTATTGTAAAAATATTATTATTATTTTTATTAATAAGAATATCTGCAAGTATACATTATATTCTACATATCTGTAGTAACATTGTAGGGATATGAAAAAAAATCATATTCAAGTATTTTGTTACAGTGTTACCTATACGCACAGTTTATTTTACCATAAATAAATATGTGATGTGTATATCTATAGATATTTTATTTATTTCATGTTGTTATTATTAACAATATGTGTACACTCAGTCTACAGAACCTACTTCAACTTTTCCTTTTTTAATCTACATAAAAGCCGCTTAAAATAAAACTAAGAAATATCTACCACAAAAAGTTAAAATCGTAACTTTTGTAAATAGTATTAAGTATACTTAAATAATTTAATATTATCAATGCCAGGAGAGTCTAATAAATTAAAATTACACTCCCTGATTTATATATAATTTCATCGGAACATTATCTCCCCGAAAATGATGAAAAATTCTATTTTATAAAATATAAAGCCTTTAAGACCAGCACTCCAAACAAATTTGCTACCATATTTTCCTATCCTTTGCAACTTCTCTTCATTGTGTATTCGGTTCTATTGCTTTCATATCCTTTTTGACATGAACTTTCTATCATAATTCCTACAGATCTTTTCTAATCGGATCTGCTTAGTGACTGTCTTGATCAATTGATCAGACCACATCTTCCTTTCGTATCTACTACAATAATGTCAGGTCCTTAGAATAAGATCTTTAGTTCCTCATTGCGACGTATCCTCCATTCCCCCATGTTAATGGTTCATAAATTCGTCTTAAAATGTTTCGCTCAAACACTGCAGCGAGTCTAATTTCTTTTACCTTATGGTTTTCTCAGAGTCTAAGCCTCAAAACGATATAATACTACTAGTCGTATCAGGATCATGTATATAATTGAATTTTTAATTATTTTCGTTATAATCTATGAGCCTAACATGTTTCCTATGAGTATAGTATATACTATACATATTATATATACTTTATGCAATAGCTGTGCTACAATGTTTTATGCTTAACCATGGAAAAAACTCGAATAATATAGACTGTAAGTACCTACCTTATAATGAATAATTAATTAAATATTTGATATTTAAACATCAACGTTTTCCAAAAAATATTTTATGTCAGAAAATTTAGTTAGAACTTCAAATATGATACCAATTTAATATATTCAATTTAACGGGTTAAAAATATATTTATCATAATAAGTCGTAAAACTTTGTATACATAATAAATGTATGATGTTTGAAAAGTGTTTAAACTTTCAAAAATATCGCAAGGCCAATGATAATAAAATTATTATCACTGTGCAACTATGCTACATAATAAAACGCGTGGTGTATATTATACTCCATGTTATTAAAAATTCTGAGCAATGAATCGCGTAACATTTCAATAACCAGACTCGAATTTCAATTAAGTATTTTTAAACAGATTAGTACTAAAACCTACAAATTATACTCATAATACGCACTTATACACCGTACATACACTAAAATATCTATCGTCCAAATCCAACTATGTTTATCTACATTTAGACCGATCAACATGTTTTTCAATTTTGGCTAAATTCTGGTCTATAGTAATTATGGATTATTAATAGTAGATATGCTAGAAATTCGTTTGCTTATTCTTTTATACTATAGGTACACGAATAATAATCATTACACTCCGAAAATAAAATGTATTGTAATATATTTATGGACTACGTTAGATTTTTGGAAATTAATATATTTTTTTCAATTTTCAATTTATTAAAAAAAAAATGTTTAACATTGGCTTATTTTAGAATAAAAATATATAATATAAAAATTAATAGTTAAAAGAATGTATTGAAATCGAAATTTATTTTATTTTAATATAGCAAGGTCTATAATATTGCTTTGTTTTTTCAACGATATGCGTTTCCATGACAACAATGATTGTTTAAAATAATATTAAAATAATAAAAACTTAATAATAACAAATAATAAATAAAAACGGTTTCCAATGACAACCTTATTTTTAATCTTTCAATCTTATTTAACCTAAAGAACCAGGTTTATCTTATTATCTCGAATATTAATGCAAATTTCAAAAAATAACCTCCTTAAAGTACCATCCAGAAAACATTTCCTTTCGGAAAAAGTGCTACACTTGATAATTGAAGTAAGCCTTCTGGTGAAAAAAGTGTTCACATGAAAAACAAATTTAAAAAAAAAAAAAAATCATTGTAAAATCAATACATTTCTCGCTCCGCTCAGAGTCTATAATAAAGATATAATGAAAATTAATGTATGACTAAAACACCTACTATTTTACAACATCAACATTTTCCTATACATTATTTCCCAATTTTCAAGTAACATTATATAGATATATAAATACATGATTAAATTTATTTAAATAAATACTAATAAAATAATAGCTGAAGTCGTAAACTAATATCATTGATATTTAAACTCAAATATCAATGATTACTATACTGAACAAAAATATATTTATAAAAAGTACAACAAGTATATACTCGTGTCAATAAAATACCTTTTTAAATTGAATTATAATAAACGCTGATCGTTTTTCCGCACATAACATTTTGGTAATGATGAATGGTCTGACTGAAAATCAATTCAAGAGTTTTATCAATAGATATTACATATAGTTTCTATTCTAAGTACAGATCGGTTTATATTGTCATCGATGGTCGCTTATAGTAATCCAATTTCTATTTTGTGTACGGTTTCCTTACTCTGGGCGTAAAAAATAAGAGTGGATGGATAGGTAGAGATGAAAAATAAAACAATAAATATAGTAGTTTTTGTTAGAGTTTCAATACAAAAGAGCACAGGATTACTACTGTAGGTATACCGTATACGACACGGATAAAAGTTTTTAAAAGTCTATAAATCCCTCAGGCGACTTTCTGGATTGAAAAACTTCAAATTTCGAGGTTATACTAACAATTTTAAGCCATTCCAGTGAAGTTTATTACCTTTATTTATTGAAGATTGGATCATAAAAACTGTAATGTAATTTATGTTTTTTTATAATATATTTAAATTTTTAACGGAACCATTTGAATTTCGGAAGGGTTGTAAAATAATTTTGATTAAAACTAAAAATATTTGAAAACACAATATATAATACACCTAACTGAACGTGTAGTTATATTAATGTTCAAAATATTTTGTTAATCTAAAATAATATACAAATTATATAAAATGAATGGTTAATGATGAATACATAAACAAATTATTTAGATGGTAAATAGCCTATTTTTCAAAGAATTCTTAAAAATATAAGTATAAATACCATTTTGTGTTATAATTAAATGTTATTATTTTATTTATGATTTTCTTTTATGATATTCTTTTTTAATATATCACTATCAAAATATTAAGTAATTATGTTTTTATTATATAATTAGGACATTAATATATGTATAATAATCTATAATATCATCTACTAAAAATATGCATGTGTTAACGTGGAAACAAAATTAATGAACTTAGGCAGATAAATATATAATTAAAAGATTTCTATTTACACGAACAAATAGTAGCGTAAACACGAAACAAATAAAATTTACCAAACGTTCAGAAAACAATTTAAAAACGAGAAATACTATAAAACCGTAATTCAGAGTCGTGTCTTTTATAGCTCCTAGGTACTATTCCACAGTAAATCAATTGCAACTGTTTCTAAACAGTGTGGGGCAACAAGTTTTAGTTTGTCGCTAATTATTTTTAACTGAGAAAAATTGTTTAAGGTAGACAAGAATTATCATTTAAGGCCTTTATAAAGAAAAATTAAGTAGATTTAACTGTATAGGAATATATTATTTAATATAATAATACTATATCCTACTATAATAAAAATTAATATAAATGTACAAACTATATATGTAATATAATACAGGTGTCCCACGAAGATGTACAATAAACACATTATAATATCTCCGAAGATAATAAAGATAATCGAATTATGTTTTTTTTTTTTTTTTTTTTTATATATTAATTACAGAGATAAGGACTACAAATATTTATATTGCAATTAATTTTTTATGTTTTGGTAAAAAATTTAAAAAAAATTTTATAGAGTTTATCATTCTGAAAAATTTGAATATCTACTTTTTATTTTCATTAAATTCATAATTTTTAATAATTTTTTAAAGTCCAGAGAAAAGTACCTATAATTATATGCAGCAGGTTGTAATCGCAGAGAAAAAAGTGTAGGAACATTCAATTAATCGTAATAATAATAATTAAGTAGAGAATGCGATTACAGCCTGCTGCATATAATTATAAGGACTTTAAAAAAATATTAAAAATCACGAATTTAATAGAAATAAAAAGTTGATACATTAAAATGTTCAAAAGAATAAACTCTATGAAATGACTATCTTCAAATTTTTCAAAAATAATAAAATAAAGTCATTTTTAAATTTTTTACCAAAACATAAAAAATGAATTGGAATATAAATATTAATTGTAGTTCTAATCTTAAGTTAGTAATATAAAAAAAACAGGATTTGATTATCTTTATCATCTCTAAAAATATTAAAATGGGTATATCCTTCGTCCTTTCGTGAGACACCCTGTATGTTTATGTGATATACTAACTATATTTACAAAGTGAAAATTTATCACAATTAGGTATAACTTTAAAATGCATCTACTCTACAAATTTAAATGTTAGATTTTATGATAAATATAATTTTTTTTTATTTTATGAGCCTTTAGGATTAAGCAGCTTCTTCTAAACTTATTCATCAACCCATGTCTAAAGAATTCTCCAGTCATA